GACGATTCAATTCGCTGCACTCGCCAGTGTGACCGTTTCGCGAGTGCTGAAGAAGCTGGTGGTGTGGCCTTAACGCAGCCCCCGCGAAATACTGGCTGTGAACAGTCACTCTTTTAACGAGTAACACTTTCCACTTAACATTAAATTTTAATTCTCACTTAAAACTGTATTGTTTATTTACGGAGGCCATAGGCCTGACCCAAATAGATCAGGGATCACTACACAGCAAAGCAGCTGGAGTAACTAAAATACTAGTCCCCGGTTAGTTCAGATCTCCACGGTCATGGACACGATCAAACTGTGGCACAGTGGGCAAGTCCGGTGCCTTGAGATCTCAGCGGGAGCTGCGCAGTGGTGGCAGGTGGAGCAGATCCAAATGTTGTTTGTTGGCTGGGTGATGGGTTTTCCGGAGGAAATGCATGCCGGGAATCGAGCATTGCACTCAGGACAGGAGGGTGAGCTTGAAAGATCAGTAGTCCATTATTATAATGATTATGATGATCACGACCCTTCACTTACCTATCAGGCACTGGCACTCCGCAGGAATAGCAATCCACCTTCTCGCCAGCGCTGTCCTCCGGATCGTACTTGGCGAAGATCCCTGCCGCCAGCTCCTCGTACCGTTGAAGGGTAGCCTCCGGCAGATGACCCTGTTGCTCCAGCTTCATGAAAGCCTTGGAGCAGGTGCCGAAGGCACGATCCGCACAGCTGGCCAGAGCCAATAGGCTGTATATGTGCTCCGGGGGCAAGACGTCCTCGTAGTCGCGCAACCTCACTGCCGTGACCACCGCACTGTGAATGATTCCGAATCGGAGCTGCCTCTGCGCCAGAAGCATAAAGTGGTAGGCCTCGGCGCAGTGCCACAGCCTCTCGATGGCAGCCGCATCCTCCAGGGCAATGGAGTCCAGTAGGGTGTTCCTGCCGCTGGCGTAGTCGATCTCCGGCGTGGCCACCGCCTTGAGGTGCTCCTCCGCCAGCAGAGCAGACAGCACGTACAGCTTCTTGATTCTCAGCAGAGGAGCCCGCTTCTCCTGCTCCCGTTCCGCCATTTGAGAAAGCAGGCGAGCTGCATCTAGATGGCGTCCTGCATTCCTCTGCATCTCGATAGCTTCCTTGAGACGTCCCTCCTGGAGCAGCTGAGCCGCGTGCTTGGCTATGAGCGTTTGCACCTGGGGCAGCTGGAACCGCTGGGCCAGCTCCACAGCCTCGCCCCACTGCCGGAGATTCACGCAGGTAGAGACGGCGGCCTTCTGGTCACCAAAACGTAGATGAGCTTGAACTGCCTCGGAACACATGCCCACGGAGGCCAACATCTCGGCCAGCTTAGGAAGCAGCGGGCTCTTCTCCGGTAGCCGTTCCACACACTTTTCCAAGTCGTCGAACTGCTCCAAATGGTACAGAGCCTCCATGTAGCCCTCCAGATAGTGGGACTTCTCGTAGTACTCCCTGGCACTCTCCCAGGAGCGCAGGTTGGCGAAGTGGTGGCCAATCTCCCGCCAAGCGATCTCCATCTGCTGGTCCGACACGCCCGAGCCTCCCATCCTGTAGAGCTGCACCACGCGGAACCAATCGCAAAGGGTCATGCGCAGCTCTATGGCCAAATCCCGACGATCTGCGTCCAGGTAGAGCTTCTCCGCCTCCTCGAACTCTCCGTAGAAGGCGGATATCTCCGCCCTCTGCAGCTCCTTGGAGTGTATGGTGCGCAGTCTCTTGACCAACTTGATGCCCGGATAGTGCGCACAACGCACAAAGGCATTCTCCGCCGTCTCCAGTTCCAGTTTCTTCAGGGCAGACTCCGCCAGCAGTCGCCAGAGCCTTGGATGCGGGTTGTCCTCAATGAACTGCTTGGCATCCTCCAGTCCCACGTGCTCCAACAGATCGTCGGTATCGCGCAAGGACTTTACCCTCAACTGGATGACATGCGAAGAATTCTGCAGCTCACCCACGCTGATGATGTCGTCCAACAGTACACTGGTGATCTCCAAGTCCTCGAAGGTGCAAATGTAGCCGGAGCAGGATACTGGCTCCTCGGGATCATTGCCCCGGAAGATGTACATGCGCGTCTTCTCCATCAGAGCCAGCAGCAGTGGGTTATCCTTGGCCCAACTCACGGCCCAAACGTCCTTGCGCTCCACCCGACTGAAGTTGAGTTGGGTCTCCCTGTTGTCGTCCAGGTCGAGCAGGGTCATTACGCCCATGTGGTCGATAATGGCAGCTCGCCTATGTAAGGAGAATATATTGAGAATATATTGTGCAGAGAGTAAGGTGTGCTACCCACGTGGAATTGCAGTTGATAGCCATCTTGTAGACCTTGGAGTTCATCAGGTGACGGTTCCTCAGAGCCACATTGGCTATGCTGTACTCGTTGATAGCGCCGGATTCCCTGGCCACAAGAAGCAGCTTCTCGGAGAGTGCCAGGGCACAGATTGGGTCACTGATTCCCCGCTGCGTGGAGTGACCATCGCCACTGCTACTGCTCAGCATCAGGTCCTTGGCCATCTCCACTCCCGTGGGTGTGTCGTCGATGTGGAACCGCTTCTCCTTGCGCGCCTTTACATTGTGCAGGGTGGAGGCACTCTGAAGCAGACCAATAACTAAGTGGTAATCAGATTGATGACTCAAATTACGCACCTTGGGTGTGTGGTAGTGCCAAATTAGAATCTCCTCCTGGGAGGCTATGGCCACATAGCTCGAGTTGATGCCCACAAAGCAGGGTCTAATATCCGTGTACTTGGCTAAAATAACTGCGATTAGTCCGGAACATCATCATCTCTGGTGGCCAACTTACAATCCACAGTGGTGCCAATGGAATTGCAGAGGAGCAACTGGTATACCCTGTCGTCCGCAGGGTTACTTCGATTCTCCAGGGTGCTCAGCGCAATCTCCTTGATGTTGCTGCTGACACACTCGACTCCCAGGACGCAATGTTCACTGCTGGACGCCAGGCACAAGGTGGGCTCCACCTCCTTAAGGAAACTCTGATTGGAGACGGTGTTCCAGAAGGTGATCACGCTCATGGGCGAGTCCCTGGTGGCACTGCCGCTGTTCAGGAAGACCACGGTCTTCTCGAAGTAACACCAGATGTAGTCCGGTCGGATGTTGGCGAAGTAGATGAACGAGTCCACGGCCATGGCGATGCGCAGGGATTTGCCCTCCCAGCTGAGCGAAGTGATGTCGTTGCCAGGAACCTTCAGAGTGCGGTAGATCTTGCCCAGCGGCGAGTAGAAGCACACCTGGTTGGAGTCACGTTGCGAACTCGCACTCAGCCCGTCCATGCTGGTTCCACAAATGGCCAGCACAGTGCCGTCATGGTTCCACTTGGCGTCCACATTGCGCATTCCAGTGTCAAAGATTGCGGGGGCTAAAACACAAGTGGGTTAGTTAGGAGCTCCTCGAATTTGCACCACCTCCTACCATCGTCATTTTCGTTCCTCATGATCTGCACCCTTCCGTTCTCATAGCAAATGGCTAGAACTGGACGCTTTCGACTCTGGGAGACCCTGCCACTGAACCAGCAGATGCTGGCTATGCGGTGACCTCTGGAAGAGGAGCCGCCACCTATGTTCACGCACTGGATGTGCAGCTTCATCTGGGCAACAAGAGCAATGTAGGTAAGTATGTTGATTGTCCAGAACCTTGTTCAACTTACAGCAAAGTTCCCTTGGTTATCGTACAGATGGCACTCCCCGTTGGCCAAGGCAAACAGGATGAGCCGATTATCCGGACTCCACTGCACGCCAGTCAGATGAGTGCCCTTCAGCTCCTTGCCAAAGATGCGGTTGCCATCCACAGAACCCACTATAATCGCCCCATCCTCGTAGACGATGCAGATGCGCGATCCATCCGAGGTCCAGCTCATGCTGGCCACCGTGGACTTCTTCCTGTCGTTGGTCATCTCCTCGTACCAGGATCCCTTGTACAACATCCACACCATGATCACCCCATCCGTATCCGAGGAGGTCAGCTTCTGCTGCGCATCGTTCCAGGTGACCACCCGCACCGACTCCTTGTGGCCATCTAGGGTTTGGTTCATGGACAGGTTGGAAACGGCGGCCAGGCCGCCTTTGTTCTGGCCATTGGGAGTGGCTGGAGATTGGCATAAAGTAATTGTTCAATTGGAGAGGTATATGGTAGTAAACATAGGTAAGTTCTTGATTTATTTGTGTATCTGTATCTTGAAATTTATAAACTGCTAACTTTAATGAGTTCCGGGCAATTGAGATTAGAAAGATTAGAAAGTGGCATAAGTGAAGTACGCAGATAATGACTGTTAGTTATGATACCCTGGTCCACTTACCCTGCTCCAGTTTGAGGACCTTGAGCAGCCCATCCGTCCCGGCCACTGCGATGTAGCCCTCCTCCTTGTTCCACGCTATGCAGTTGAGCTTCACATTGTTGGGTATGGCTATCTGGGGGAAGACCTTGTAGATCACATGTAGGTACCTCAAATGAAGCCTACCTTTTTGCTGAGATACACAAACATCTTGGTGTTGCAAGTGCACTTGGATTCTTTCAGTTCTCCTCGATGTTTCCCAGCTTTTGCTGTGGCAGCAAAACTAAATGGTTTCCATGGTGATCCCCACTTCAGCTTGTATCATGGCCACGCAGCGCTCAGCTGGCTAAAACCCAAGCCTGTTTTGGGCCCATAAAGTGGCTTAATTGGTATTGGTGGCAAGTGGCAGGGAAGCACCTGCTGCCACCTGTTGCTATCGAAGCACCTGTGTGTTATCGAGGGCGCGCTCTTTAAAATGTCGATCGAAATGAAGAATATAAAACGTGTTTTCACCAACAAGGTTTAATTATGTCAAAAAGACAAAAAGACAAAAGATATATGAACCTAATATACGAAGTGAGCCAATGCTTATAAATTAAAGATGGTTAGTCACGGCGACAGGCTTATCGGACAAATAAGTCGGAATTGCATCATAAATATAAAATAAAACTGAAGTAGACTGAAACAATACCTACGACAATTTCCTAATAACACAATTCCAAATCAGTCAGCATTACATCACAATTTCCCTATTCGTATTTCTAGCAGTAACATTTACATTAAATTCAGTTGATTCACAGGACACGTGGATATGGATATCAGGCTAGTCGAATACCCCTCTTGAGCAATTCGTGAGTCAGCTTGGTGGCCAAAAACATGTAGATCAGCAGGATGATGACGGACTCAGATTGAGACCGATCTTCTGGCCTGAGGAATATGTTCACCATGCCGGTCAGAACGTTGGCCACCAGGAAGAATGTCAATCCATTTTTGTTCAGAGCCTGGCTAATCGTGAACGGGACAATGGATCCGCCCCTTCGCTTGGCCACAGCATCTCCCGATAGAAGACCCTGTTCCTGATCCTCCGAAGGACTCGATTCCCACGGCATCACGCTGTTGATCGCAAAGTCTATGGCTCCGAAACTGGCCCACAAAGTGGTGCTGCCGATGGCCAGCATCCATATGACATAGCCCAGGTTGCAGGTTACTCGGGAGATTCCGATTTCGTAGGCACTGATGACGAAAGAGGTCCACAGGATGAGCACCAGATAAAACAGACGCCTCAGCTTTTTGGCAAACTCGGAGTAGCTCAGCAGACTCTTCGCCACCATCCAGCGGTTAACATAAATGGACAGCAGGAACAGGCCAACGAATCCTGGCAAGGAGACCAGGCCTTCGCGATTGGCATTGAAGAAGCTGGAGCGCTCCACATCCTCGTCCATCACATAGTCGGAGATGCCAAGGACGCTCAGCCCAAACTGGTGGATCGCCAACAGACCTGGAAGAGCAGCTATTTAGTACGAAGGTTGGAGGAGGAACCATGATCTAGTACCGAATCCCAAGGGCAGCAAATGGAGATCTTTGCGAGCCAGAATGCTGACCAGAGCGCCCAGGAACTTGGTGTATCCAAGGGTGAAAAAGGCATTCAGATGCTGGCCGTACTCATGGGCATCCTGCCCGTAACCCAGTGTCAGAATGGACACCGTGCGCGCCAGTCCCAGCAGGATGAGCGGCAGGGCGGAGTAGAGCACACTCCGGCGGAGATCAGACCATTGACGAGTCCTCCGCGACACCATGGCCATGGTGAAGACAAACAGACCGATGCCGGTGTCCATTAGCTTGGCTCCGAACTGCCTGCTCTTGCGGTATGGCCTATAGAAACTCCCGAAGTCGATGGCCAAAATGCAGACGGCGGTGATCAGGTGGGTCAGAGCACGCAGGATGGACAAGCACATGGGTCTATTGCCACCCAAGTCGAACTGACCGCGGGATCGAGCACGTTCCAGAGCCCTGCTCGTACGCAGAAACCACAAGGTGGCCCCGAGCATCACTAATCCCACGTATCCACTGTAGTCCACGGCCACGGAGACGAGCAGAATGCAGGGCAGGACGACCAGGACGAACTCCGTGGCATAGCAGAGGTCGGGAGAGCCATGAAGCCGCAGCTTTTGGCTCACCACTCGCGCGAGAAGAATGCACCATAAGGTGGACAGTATCAGCAGGAGAGACTCCCCGCTCTGGACCACGGTTGCCCACCAGTCCCAGTCGTAGACTTGGATGATGTCCACACCCAGACGCTCCGCGAGGCTTCGGTTCACCGGACTCGGATGCGGACTGGGGCTCACATCGGGAATAGCTTGCGCTGCCGCTCGACTGTCCATGGCGACTGGCGACGGGATAGCCCTTGGACTCTCACGTCGGTGGCCTGATAAAGGTAGCACTTAATCTGCCCGTTGATAGTCGCCACTTATCGGAAAGATAGGCATAGTTATAGCCGATCGATTCGGAGCTTCAATAAAAAGCACGAAACCCGAAACAAAATTCGTTAAACTTCAAACATCAGAATGTCGCTGATAGCAACTGAAGTATTTCGCCAGTGAATTGAAGCATTCCATTGGAAGCTATTAGATCCGCGTAAGTCTCGCAGTGATAAGGAAAACCACCCACTCATCCCCTATTTTGACAACTGATTTAACTACTGCAGCAGTTCATGATCAGGGTCAAACACTTTTGAAACTTCTTGCTTCGTTTTTTCTCTGTGTACTTGTACTTGCTTTACTTTACTTTATTCACCATTTCTAAGACCTTGGCTACTGATACGTCCAAGCCACATTTCACTTTCATGGGCTGATTTGGTGTAGGGATTCGACTGGAATTAATGGGCTTAAATTATGGGTGGCTCAGCACGATCGAAACTTAATTGCCTCCGAATTCACATTTTTAATTTTAAATTCTTTGACTTCAAAATAGTAAGTGCATTTACTTTTGTTTTTTTCTGATACAATTTGCCTGATTGAAAATTGATTTTCAGATACGCCTTTGCCATTACCTTCATTTTTAATTAGAACTCTTCATTTACTTAAAGTAATTAGGCGAGCATTTATTTATTTGTCAGTAATTTTGACTTAAAACAAAACGTTCAATCACTGTTTGAACTAAGCGCCAAATTAATCGATTAAACACGTTCGATAGCTGGGCCACCGACCACGAGCAAAATCGGCCAGTCTGGCAGCACCCGAGCAGTTGGTATTTTTTAGTGCTTTCCTTGAATTATAGAAAAAGAGGCTCGTCTGCGGCCGCAGTGATAAAAGCGCAAAAAAGTCAATAAAATGTTGTTTATCCAGCAAATAAAGTGTGCTGCCCCAATGGCGGATGCCTAGTCAAAGCGTGCGCTGGAACTAAAGTGGGGCCCGTGCCAGTGTGGGTGAGTATTTCCACTTTTACGCTTTGCCGGCACGTGTTTCTTTATTTTCCATTTACTACTCAATAAGCTGTTAATTAAGCTGCTTACGTCAAGTGTTAATTACAGAGCAAGCTAATCTAAAAACCAAAGCCTAATCACAGTGTCTAGTGGTTCAGTTTGCTTAGTCCAAGCGCCCATTACATAGCTTTGTTGTGCTTTTGCACTCCGTGACGTCACGGGGCGTTGGACCAATCGGAATGCAGCTTTCGAGGGGCTTGTCCACCGATGACGTAGGCAGCAGCCGACGTCTAGTCGGAAAATTGATTTCTGTTGCTTGTGCAGCTGGCCACGTGAGTTGGCCACGTTTGCACTCCCACCCACCCGCCGCCCCCCGCGATCGCTTGCGATGTGTATACGCCGTGTGTGCCCTTCAGTCGATGGATATTGTATGTACATACTCATTTAGTAGCCAACTTTCGATGCAGCGAGATCGCAAAATACGGAAGCAGACAGAGCAACTTATTTTCTAAATATTGCTGCTGGCAGTGCAGCGCACATTTACGTAACTAATTGCGGGCAAGTGCTAAGAAAATTATATGTTTGCATAGGTGTGGACGAGTGTCAACAGTGCACTGCGAGAAATAGTCGCGTCGCTGATTGCAAGGTGAATCTAGGCTAAAACAATCCGCTCTGTGCAGGTCCTGGATTTTCTATTTAAAAGTCAATCTGTCAAGGAAAACTCTGTACCCATAAAATGATCAAAAAGTGAAGTGAAAGTATAACCACCATTTCCCAGAACTTTAAAAGCACCTCTATTAGTTTCCTCTAACAACAACACGAGTATGTAATGAGTGCAACTAGAAGATTAAACAACAGCCGGCGCCTGAGCAGCTTGCTTATCGCGTGACCTTTGACCTGACCTGACTGCGAAATTCATTACACGTCCAATAGCCCGCATCTGCCCCCTGGCAGCGAAATTGCAATCGACTTGTCAGGAACATCGCACACCCAGCAATTAAATGCAATCACAACAAAAACACGCCCTATCAGCAGTCGCAAATATTTCAGCAATCACTTTGGGTGGGAAATCAAGTCGTACGATACGATATCGCTGTGATAAGCGAGCTATTCATAGTCCACGGGTCGTATGCGTAATTTAATTTATGCATGTAGGTGCAAAAGTTGAGTGAACCTTTGCACCCCTGATGTAATCATTTATTGCACCACCTGCACTCGAATTACCCATATTCAACCGAGAACAAGGCAGCATAAAGCGCAATGCAAATGACTGAATCGCACTTCAAGTGCAGCTTTGAACCTGTGCCTGAAATTACAGGCCAATAATACCATTTTTACAATGACTTTAATGGGTTCTGCCAGTACATTGTGCATATAGATACATGCATGTATGTAGGTACTATATATGCGTAAACAAAAATTGCACATCAAGGAAATACAACTCATTATCACGCTGGGCAGTGATCAAGTCGAATTTTGAATACCCTATATTGCCATGAGTTGGAATTTGTCGTGGACTCCATCTGCCAATGGACTCATTATTGTTTTTATTTCGGGCACTTAAACAACTCGCTGGTTTATAGCCAACCCAGCAAATATTTCCTAGTTAAGGCCACTTTCGTTTGTGGGCCAACCACTCATCGCATGCATATGTATGTGTTTTCACACTGACATTTGGCTTTAACGAAGTCGCCTTAGTTGACCAAAATGATTTCATTAACTTCGTTTATATAACGAGCACACTCCCCCTTTTCGCTTAACGAATGCAAATATTTAAATGCCATCATTTGCATTTGGCTCCATTTCGTTTTGTGGGCCTGCTCTTGAGGATGTCGCACAAACAGCGTCTGTTTTATTTGTTTGCCCCTCAATGGAATATTTTCTATATTTGTTGTATCTTTAAATAGACCGTCCTATAAGTATGAGCTGAATGGACGCCCACACGTGAGATTGCGTATACGAATTGTCTTTGAAAACCTGAAGAATTTATGTGTGGGATAATTTGGTAAAATAATTTCCGTCCGTGAAATGAGACATTGTTGCGTACGCGCACATAATTGTGGGAGCCTCAGCATTTGGCTGTACAAAATCCGTGAGAATCTTATTTTCTACAGTGGTTAGAGGTGCCTATAAGGTAGCACTATCTTTTCAAAATTTCTTGAGGTTATTGCCAGACAAACTTGTAGTTTTCCACTCTTGATAGTGCGAGTTAAGAAAATTTTCTAGATTTTTTGCGCTATTTTCAGATTTATGTGTTGGAGCTCCATTATGCTTTCAATCTCCTTGATTTATGTGACACTGCGGCGACTGATTAGCATTGGGCTAATTTTTCGACCTTAACTGACAGTACAATTGATTGAGCAGCCACCAACTTCCTTTCCTATACGATTGACCCACTGTGCTGGGCTATATCCGTCCGCGGCGAATGCAAATGCGTGTTTTTGAATGCCAAGGCTGTCGCAACCAGTTCGCAGTTTATTGCACCGAGAGGCGTCTAAGGCGGCGTTTAAGCAGCACCCGCAATCCTCCAGTCCACCTCCACTCAATGGATCCCTCTTCCACCCGCCGACCCAGACATCGCCGCCGCTTGCCGGCTTGTCTTATCAGCTATCGGCAATTGGAGCTACCGCCGGTTCCATTTGGTCGGTAGACTTACCTAGTCGCATACCCGTCCACTCACCAAGCGCGACCATGTACGAGCTGGAAGCTCTATGTGCGGCTATTTTCACTGCGCTGCCGCGCCTTCGAATCGTTTGATTTTCGACGTACAGATACATTTTGGCGCTCGTCGTGGTCGGTTGTGTTTTGTGTTTTGCTCGTCGCGCTCGGTCCTGCTCTTTCGATCGATTTCCCTCTCTTTCGCCGCAACTGACGTCTCTGGAGGATTTGAGAATATTTAAACAACTGTTATCAGCAGCCATAAACAACAATCGAATAGAAAAGTGAGGGGACGAGTATGCAATGTCAAACAACTCATCAAATATCATTAATCGCAGTTATCGCAGTTGGTTATTGGTAATCGCCGTTATCGCAAACTATCCCTTGTAATAGAAGCTATCGCAGAGTATCCCATTTAATTCTTTGAGGGCTTTCGTTTTGCCGTTTTAGTCGAGTGTTCGAGCAAGTGGGTAGGCAAATATTGGTCGATCAGCCCACCAAAGTGCTTCCATATCTTATCTGCGATTTCTGCTAACATAATAGTTTATGGGCCGTGCATCGATGGTGGCCTATCAGGAAACAGTGCCTAACAGAGGTACACAGTCATAAACAGGCGTATATCAAATAATGTTAGAACTGCCGACTTTCAAAAGTGTCGCCGACTAATTTGAACCGATTACCAGATGGATCCGGAACGCGAGTAAGCTGTGGAAAGTTTACGAACGTAAATGCCAATCAACGCAAAATCTAAACAAATCGAAGATGTAGTCACCCAGTGCACTCGGTCATTAAGCTCTTATCTCCGTTCCGGGCACTTGACCTTGTCGCAGGGATCGCAATCAGCAGTTGGAACCAGTAGCTCACCATAATTTATGTATTCCGCTTCTGGGCTCCGCTCACCAAAACCCGAGCGATAAGCTGGTGCCGTCAACAAGCGTTTCTGTGTGACACTGGGAAGAGGGCTCGACCACCAACTCGGACTGGGAATCCAGCCCCCCAACGGTCTGGGCGGGTACAAAGTCAACAATGGCCAAACAAGTGCTCGAGCACGGCGTACTCGTGTATGTACACAAGTCCACTTCAGATCATATCGCTGGGAAGGTCCACATGACAGTGCGAATGGCAAACATAGAATTGCAGGGAGTGGGTATACTATAGATCTGCGCCCAGTCTTCCAACTTTATCTTTGATTGCAATCGTAAAATGATTTTATGGTTATTGTATTGAAATATTGGCCCTCCACTGGAATGCCTAGACTGTGGCGTTTGCTTTTTGACACCTGATAAATAAATGAAGTGGAATACGCGCTGAAACATTCATAAATAATGTAATGAGTTCCTACCAAAATTAATAAACGGCGTCCTTATCATTAGTTCATAATTTATGCACCTTGTCAGTGGCAAAAGTGATTGAGATTACCTTTATTGTTACATTTAGCGCGAAACCTTTTAACTTTACCCCGACCTGATTGAACTGATACATGCATCCCATTATTGTGCAATTATTTCCAAGCTTATCTAATCGGCGTCCTATCTTGCAGGCAGCATGACCGAGGGCAAGAACTTACCCCACTCCAGTGCGGATGTGCCGTTCCGCAGCAAGGAGCTGCGCAAGCAGTCGCTCATACAGCACAGCGGCCTGGTCGGAGTCATCGATGAGGGCACCAAGACCATCGGCTTCTCCATCTACACCACGCCGGACTTCAAGGAGATCGCCGCGCACCGGGTGGAGCTGAGCGTGATCACGCCCCAGGATGGCTGGTACGAGCAGGACCCGCTGGAGATGATGGCCTCGATCAACAAGTGCGCCGAGGAGGCCATCAAGCAGTTGCCCGAACAGGGCTTCTCCGCCAGCGACATCGTCACCGTGGGCATAACCAACCAGCGCGAGACGACGATCGTCTGGGATGCGGTCACCGGCAAACCGCTCTACAATGCGCTCCTGTGGAAGGACATCCGCACCAGCACTACAGTGGAGCACATCGTGGCGAAGGTGCAGGATCCGAACCACTTTCGCAGCAGCACGGGACTGCCCATCTCCACGTACTTCTCGGCCCTCAAGATCCGCTGGCTGCGGGACAATGTTCCCGAGGTGCGGCAGGCCATCCGGGAAAGGCGTTGCAAGGCGGGCACAGTGGACAGCTGGATCGTCTGGAACTTGACAAACGGCAAGATCATTAGAAACATAAGAAAAAACATTTTTAAAGTTCGTACTTAACTGGTTTGTTTCCCTCCAGGAGCTCTCCACATCACGGATGTGACGAACGCCTCCCGCACTCTGCTCATGAATCTGGAGACGCAAGCCTGGGATCCCGTTCTGCTCAAGACGTTCGGCATCAGGGAGGAGATGCTGCCCACCATCCACAGCTGTTCGGAGGTATTTGGCAAGATCACTTCGGAGCGAAGTCCGCTGCGTGGAATGACCCTGAGTGGAATAATGGGCAACCAGCAGGCCTCGCTTCTCGGCCAGATGTGCGTGAAGCCGGGTCAGACGAAGAACACTTACCGGTCCGGATGCTTTCTGCTCTGCAATACCGGGGACAAGCCCGTATTCTCTAGGCACGGGCTGCTCACCACCGTGGCTTACAAGCTCGGTCCCCAGGCACCGACGATCTACGCCATTGAGGGAGCCGTGTCGGTGGCTGGACATGCGCTCTCCTGGCTGCAAAACAAGGTGCGTATCCTGCCGGACTCCAGAGATGCCGAGAAATATGCGGAGATGGTGCCCACATCGGGTGATGTGTACTTCGTGCCCGCCTTCACAGGACTATATGCACCCTACTGGCGGCAGAATGCTCGCGGCATCATCATTGGGCTCACGCAGTTCACCCGTAAGAATCACATTGTGAGAGCTGCACTGGAGAGTATCTGCTTCCAAACGCGCGACATCCTGGAGTGCATGCACCAGGAGTGCGGCTACGAGATCAACAAGCTCCATGCAGATGGCAAGCTCACCACGAACAACCTGTTGATGCAACTCCAGGCGGACACCATTGGTATGCCCGTCTTCCGCTCCCAGCTAATGGACTCTACGGCCTTCGGGGCAGCCATGTGCGCCGCCCAAGCAGATGGTATCAACCTCTGCCAGTTCGAGCCCGAGAAGCGGTACTACGAGAACGTGCACTACGACACGTTCCTGGCCACCACCACGGATGTAGAGCGCAAGGAGCGTTACGGCAAGTGGAAGCGGGCGGTGGAGCGCAGCCTGGGATGGGTCATCAAGCAGAAGAAGACGCGGGAGTACACGGAGGAGAACTACCGCATGATGTCCTCGCTGCCAGCGAGCATCTTCCTCATCAGCAGCTTCGCCATGCTGGTGCACTCCCTCGCTGCGAGTGGTCAGTAAATAGGACTGCTGCCTGACTTTTGGATCGATTCTCGGTTGTGATAGTAATTCTATGTCCGGATTCTGCTTGGATCTTACACACACTCTGTACATAGTCCTCAAAGGACAATGGGTGGTTGAACGTGCTTTAAACCCTGTAAATAGCTGCTTGTCTCTGGACTGAGCTCCGTACTACTTTAAGTATCCTATAGCCTGACTATCTTAACGTGTTTTCGTTGCATATTCTGTACGTCCTAGCCGTAGTTCCATTGACGTTGGCTGGACTTCCGCGCGCCCAACGACGCCCATATCAGCGGAATTGTATATAGCCAAAGTGCAAACGACATTTCTAATTTAAGTAGGTTCCGTACTCGTATGTGTATGTATATGTAGTGATTACGCCCCTTAAACAATAAACACAATTAACACGAATCGAAACTGGGCGTCTAAATGCGAATTACCAGGAACTTCAGTGCCATATTTGCGAGATCGCTGATTAAGATTCTGTTTATTAGGGCAATAGTGCGCAGACGACGTGGACAGAATTCGATGTTGGTATACGCTATAAAGTGGGTGCTCGGGTGGGACCATTAGTAAATCATATTCAAATATAATATGCATATTCTTCAGGCTTTCACTCTTATCTGGAAACTGAATTCGACATTAAAAGTAAGCTGAAGTAAGCAAAAAGGTTTGCGAATTGTAAGAACCAAAACACTTGTACCCCTACCTAGAGTATCCATTTGTGCAATCTCACTCGACATGGGGTATGTCCCCATATCAGTTTCGTTATCATGGAGCGGAAATGTCAGGTATGAGTTAAATATGACTAAGTTAATCGATTGATTAATAGGCGGTGGGCGTGTTTGTTATTGGAGGAGCTGGTGTTTAAACGTTCTTAAGACTTTTGGGTGTGTCGGGCTAAGGAAGCAGATATCAAGTTACTAAAATAGGTGGAACCCATGGACTAATTAAGTCGTTTTTACTGCTGATTGTGAAATTTAAGCTTATATTTATAAACAATCTTCTAGATAATGATAATTTAACTAATTTATTTGAAACCCATTTCGAAATGGGATTGTGCGTCAAGTTATGTATTTGTAACATCGGGGTAGCAAAGATATGAATGGAGTATGGAAGTATGTACCTGTGGTGGACACCCACTGTGCGATTCTAATTTGAATAGGGAAAACCTCTGGGGAAATCTCGAAAAGGGTTGAAGGCAGTAGTCAATCAAGCATAAAATCGAAGCAGGAAAGACTAATGTTTCCGAAATATGCATAGTCCACGCCCCTTTGGAACCTTTGGAAGTAGCGCTACGCTAGCGAGTATCCACTGTACTTCCTTCAGCCGGGATCTCATTTAAATTGGCTCCACCGATTACCTCAACTCAAACACTCACTCATAAAAATGGATTCTCACCTGGCCAGCTTGCGAGCAGCAACAACAAGTGGTCGTAATCGTTGTTGCTTTTGGTGCTGTTGTGCAGGTAGTCGCTCAGCAGGAAAAAGGTAAGGTACGGTAACGAAAACAAACGCTCACCTTTGCCAACAACAACGAAATTGATTTTCCCTGTTCGTCTCCGAAGAATTTTCTGAATCAGTGCAGCCAGCAACAACAACAACAACAGCTAGAACCGGAATCCGTTTGAAGTTGAAGCGCGCGCAACACACACGCACGCACACACACAGGTAGCATCTCCGAACTGGAGTTCGTTCGAATGTGTGGGTGTGAGTTCGAACGCTGCACTGGAAGAAATCTACCTGCTCTCGCCATACGCTACTTTCTTTAATTCGTGAACCGCATAATAGAGTCGTGCTTGAAAGTACTTGGGTTCGAGTCCTTGATAAGGTTTAAAAACTCGGCAGATCAGCAATGCAATTTCTTCCAGTGTAAGTTCGATCTCCGAAGTTCGAAAAGATCCGAGTGCGATCGAAGAACCGTCTCTCAGTTGCGTTTGAGCTGCGAGCGTGGTTTGTCGCCTGATCTCCGCTCTCTGCGCGTCTGATAATCCGCTCCAGGTCCGAATCCGCGACGGCGTCTTTGTGTTCCGAGTGTGTGGCTGCGGTGCCTTGTTTATGTTAATCGGATATTTATATATACAGGCGAAATACTGCAGAAGTAGCAATAAATTCAGCAAATTAATCGGAGCTCGGTTTTAGAAGCGTGGGACCCGCGAGCTGAAGGCAGTGGAAAAATGAGTGTGCAGCATAAGTGATCGCTGGAAGTGGAAGTTAAAGGGTCAAACCGGTTTTCGGACAACATGGAGTTGCCACCAGCAGCAGCAGCAGCAACAACAAACGCGTCGGCATCCTTGCAACGTGTCGCCTCGGAATCCAGTCTCGATCGGGAGCGGGAACGGGATCGGGAGCAAGCAGCTGCTCCGCCTGGGCAACTGATGGGTCACCACTACCATTACATTCAATATCCGGCGCATTTCCAGCCACAACAACTTCAGGAGCAGCCAGCCCAGCCCCAGCTGCCCTGCCAGTGTCCCTGTTCCTGCGGCAGGGCGCCTCCACCGCCTGTGCAGCCCACTAATCCCGGCCAGAATGCTTCGATGGCCGTGGCCGTGCTGGTTCACCAACAGACGCCCAGTCAGCAGGACCCGGCGCGGAGTTCACCGCTCAAGGCACAGTCCGCTCAGTCCCTGCTCAATCACTCCTACCAGGCGCTCCACGAGGACCAGCATCAGCAGCAGGAGCAGCTCCAACTGGACTCCTCAGCCGGAGCCGGCAGCTGCGACTGCGATCTGGAGTGCACCTGCCCGGCCACCGGAGGAAACTCCTCCCTGGCCCAGCACAAGAGGAGCCTGCTGGCGGACGCCATGCTGGGAGCAGACGAGATCACCGTCAGTGAGTCAGACAACAACAGCACCATGATCAAGAAAAAGAAACCACGATCCGGCGGAGGAGCAGGACAACTTCCGCCGAAAACGCAACCCACGAATGACAGCTGCAACGACATCTACCACGACACGGAGCTGGACGGAGCAGTAGGAACTGGGGCAGTTGGATCTCCTGGCTCGGGGATCAAGTCCCAGATCCTCGACGATAATCATCGCCCTCCTCTGCCGCCACGCCCACCGCCCAGGCCCAGGAGCAATGCCAATGGCTCCATAGGTGAGCTATTACATTAGGGTTCTTCACTTAAAGATCTTACAGAAAAGATAACGAGGTGCATATATTTATGGAGGTTATATAGTAGATATAAACAACTTATACTTATACTTATACTTCGGAGCTCAAAAGTCTTCCCAAATAATTGCATATACATACATTCTACTGAAGTGTTGGCCAATAGCAACGACATGAAGATTATTCCAGAAGTATTTATACCAGTTGCTGCAGTTCTAAGCTCCATAACTCAACTTATATTAATCGGATTTCGAAGTGGCATACCTCTAAATGTTTCTGGTGCAATTCTCTAAAAGTCTGCATTCAAATTTAGAAATTTATTTTTATTTAATTTTTTTGTAGTTTTTCTGATGTCATAATATTGTAGAAATTCAAAAAAACTAAGAAATGTCCCAAGGCTGGAGCTCTAAACTCCATAACTCAACTTATATTAATCGGATTTTGAAGTGGCATACCTCTAAATGTTTGTGGTGCAATTCTCTAAAAATCTGCATTCAAATTTAGAAATTTATTTTTTTTTAATTTTTTTGTAATTTTTCTGATGTTATGATGTTGTATAAATTCAAGAAATGTAAGAAATGTCCCAAGGCTGAAGTTGTATACTCCATAACTCAACTTATATTAATCGGATTTTGAAGTGGGATACCTCTAAATGTTTCTGGTGCAATTCTCTAAAAATCTGCATTCAAATTTAGAAATTTATTTTTTTAAAATTTTTTTGTAACTTTTCTGATGTTATGATGTAGAAATTCAAGAAAAGTAAGAAATGTCCCAAGGCTGGAGCTCTAAACTCCATAACTCAACTTATATTAATCGGATTTTGAAGTGGGATACCTCTAAATGTTTGTGGTGCAATTCTCTAAAAATCTGCATTCAAATTTAAAAATTTATTTTTTTTTAATTTTTTTGTAATTTTTCTGATGTGATGATGTAGAAATTCAAGAAAATTAAGAAATGCCCCAAGGCTGGAGTTCTAAAGTCCATAACTCAACTTATATTAATCGGATTTTGAAGTGGCATACCTCTAAATGTTTCTGGTGCAATTCTCTAAAAGTCTGCATTCAAATTTAGAAATTTATTTTTATTTAATTTTTTTGTAGTTTTTCTGATGTCATAATATTGTAGAAATTCAAAAAAACTAAGAAATGTCCCAAGGCTGAAGTTGTATACTCCATAACTCAACTTATATTAATCGGATTTTGAAGTGGCATACGTCTAAATGTTTCTGGCACAATTCTCAAAAAATCTGCATTCAAATTTAGAAATTTATCTTTATTTTAATTTTTTGTAATTATACCCGTTCCTCGTAGAGTAAAAGGGTATACTAGATTCGTTGAAAAGCATGTAACAGGCAGAAAGAAACGTTTCCGACCATATAACGTACTCAGCACTTTCACGAGCTGAGTAATGGGTATCTGTTAGTTGGGGAACTCGACTATAGCATTTTATCTTGTTTTCACCTTTCTTCGTGTCAATGAAAATTTATGCTTATCGCGATTATACGACGTTCAATTAGATTAGTTTCCTTCATATTTATACGAAAGTTTTGTAACTCTGGCCTTGTTACTACTGTATATAAGGATATGCAAGGGTATTGCCATCTTCGCTCCTGTTTTTTCCACTGGCTTGCCATGAGTGCTGCTGCTTTGCTTCTTCCACGCGATGAATCACCCTGCCGCATGGTCACAGATTTCGTGTCACTGATTTGCCACCCGTTGTGAGCGCAGCTTCCGCTTGGTCGCGGCTTCCTCATCCGCAAGTCCTGCGCCTGCGCCGGAGGACGCTGCTCTCTCCGTGCTCTCCAGTTCGGCTGGAGCTGGTGCAAAATATTTGCTCGGGGGGTTGGCGCTGTGCTAGTGACAGTCAGGATTTCAGTTGACACCGTTCCTGTAATTGCAACGCACACTGTAGCGCCACCTCCCAGCTTCTGCTCTCCAGTATCCAGTATCCACTATCCAGTACCAGCACCAGCACCAGCAGCAGCACCCGTCCACGTCCAAGTGCCCCACTCCAGTCGTCTAAGTCCGCGCAGCTGCCTGCGGAGGCACCTCATCCCACATCCGCATCTCTGCCAGCTTCCACGGCTGTGTAGATATTTTTCTGTTTCGCTGCGGAGAAAGAAAAAAGAAGAAAGAGTGAAAAGCGAGGAAAACGTGTTCCGGAATTTCCCAGCTATTCGTCAGCTCCTTGCCAGGATGTGCACTTAAATTGCAGCTCAGCCAATTGGTGGCCACCTTTAACTGCCCGAGGAAACCATAACTATCCGCATATCCAGTAACCATGCACGGCTATCCGGTGATGCAGTTCGTGCAGTACAGCATGCCCCCGCCCTGCTCCTGGGTGCCAGGTCCTCCGCCCTCCTCGGGGAACGTGGATGGCCATCATCGCGGCTCTGGTTGGGATTGTACGGCCCCCTGTAGCCACAGCAAGTTGATTGATTGCTTACTCCCTATTTGCAGCCCATCGCCATGGCGCGGGGATCAAGAAGTACGTGGTCTGGTGCCTCATCTGCGGCGGATTCAGCTGCCTGCTGGGCGTGCTCTTCTTGGGCGTCTACTTCCTGCTGCACTCCTACACCATCACGGTGGGTAACTTCGAGACGGTGCCCACCTTTGTGCCCGCCACCCTGCTCATCCTCACTGGAATCTGCATCATGAGCCTGGCCAGGCGTCGGAATCGCTATAGCTACCTGGTAAGCGGATATTCTCTTACCTCTATAAGCATCTTGATGAATACCATGAATCCCCTACAGATAAAGCTGTCCGGAGCCTGTGGCCTGGTCTCCGCCTTAACCTGCGCTCTGGTCACAGTGACCACCACTGTGCTCCACATGAGTCGCCTGCAGGCCTTGAGGGAATGCGAGTATGCTCAAAAGACGCGGACGTGCACCTGCTACTCGGACCTCATCGAATCGCAGGTGGACCGAGTGGATAAGGGTGAGTTGTCCCACAGATCCCGAAATCCCTACGACTAATCCCTAAGCGCCATTGCCTTTCAGAAGGAGTGCGCCTTGTGTTTGACTCCCTTTCGGACTGCGGCGTTGTCCACGGATCCCTGTACTCCTGCCTGAGAGCCATCTTCGGCCTGTCCGTGGCTGGAGTTCTCATCGCCGTCTTCAGCTGCATGCTGGTGTACCAGCTCCTCAGCCACGAGCGCAAGAAGATGTACTGGGAGCAGCTGGAGCTGCGCTGCAGATCCCTGTACGCCAGTCAGGCTCCTCCTCCGGCCTTGGGTCCTGGCCGGATGTTGAACTGCAGGTGCTGCGAGCAGTGCCACGCCCACAGGCAGCTGACGCTGCCTCTGCAGGCCACCGCCTACCCGTGGGATGAGGCCACGGTTGCCGCTGCAGCAGCAGCCGCCGGAGGAGGTGGCGGAGAGCAGCGTTTCTGGGCCGCCCAGCCGCCGGGTAACTTCTACTCGCCGAATCCAGGTGGCGAGGATGCGGTGGGCAGCTGCAGGAGTGGAGAACGGGCAGGAGCGGCAGGACGCAGCAGTAGCGGGTGGAGCTGGCCTCGGATGCCTTGGCAACGTACCACTCCGGACGCCGGACGTCGATTTCGCCAAGCTGCTGCCAGTCCGGATTCACAGTACGGATTCAGTTCGTCCACGGCGGTCCAGGGAGATGGTAACCAGATGCTGATCGAGGAGCCCGTAGTGGCGGCCTACAGTGGAATGCCCCCGCCCAATGCCCTGCCCTACGGAGTTTGGGGACCTCCGCCGCCCTACAGCGATCCCAACAGTCCGGCCAGACGTGGCTACTACCAGTATCTGCAGCCAACCGCGTGTCTGGTGGGGAATCAGGGCACTGTCGCCGTGACGCTGACCCAGGAGCAGATGCATCCGACCCTGCAACACCCGCATCCCCAGCAGCAGCAGCAATTGCAGCAGATGCAGCTGCAGCGGCTCCAGGTGCAGTCCGCCACCTTGGAGCGGATGGATGGCCTTAGCAGCGCCGGTAATGTGAGTACTCTAGTGGCCGCCACTCGCTCCTCCGCCTACAAATCAAAGGCCGAGTACGAGAACACGCCGTCTGACAGTGATGGGGGAAATCCCCGGGAGAGGGAACGCTGCTCCAACACGCTGCCCACGCGGAAGCTAAAGAAGCGCTTGGAGGCGGGCACCGGAGCCAAGAGCATCGGTCCGCAGAGTAATCCTGGCCAGCAGCGACCCAATGTCCAGCAGCTGTTCGCCAAACAGGATCAACAGCAGTCGACGGGCCAGGCAAATCCTCAGCAGGCGCAGCCCCAGACGGCCGGGGTGGAGAACAGTGGCTACCAGGACTCGAACGGAGCCATAGCCAAGGATCAGGCGGTGGGAACGGATCCGGCCGAGTCCGAGGTGTATTTCGCCGACGTGAGTAGTTGCTGCAACATGTCTGTGAAGAACGACAGCTACTACGACAACGCCCAGCGCCACCAGGGACACCACCATCATCACCAGCACCAGCACAGTAATTGCAGCCACAGCAGCGGGCAGAGCAACGCCAACGAGGACTACCTGGCCCAGCGCTTCGGTCGCGGCAGGGAGCACTCCGTCCGGAGCCGTCTGCCCATTCCGCAGACGAGGCGGGAGGACGACTACGAGAGCTCCAACCTAAACATGCCCACGCTGAAGGAGCAGCAACAGCAGGCGCAACAGCTGCAGAAGGAGATCTCCCGCCACAGCATGTGTTCGGTGGAGTCGGAGGCCAAGACCGAGTTCACCGACCTCTCGCCCTCCACACCCTGCGGTGGCAATCTACCGCTGCCGCCGCCGGCGAACTTCGCCAGTGATCCGCCGACGGGCCAGCAGTCGCCCAGCTTTGTGGCCTCGTTTCCCTACTCCTCGGAGTCGCAGTGCCTGGAGGCGCATCGCCGCTCCACGAAGAACATCCACGAGCTGCTGATCGCCGGAGTGGGCGGATCCTCGGCTGGCGGCGGCGATTCCCACTACGAGGTGATCAACGACCGAGGCAATCCCTACCAGCTGCAGCGATCGCAGCAGGCCAAGCACAAGGCCAAGTCCAAGACGCGATCGCGGGAGCAGTTGGACATCTACGGCAGCGGAGCTGAGCGATCCGACTGGTCCTCGGATGGGGGTCGCTTGTGAGGCTCCGACGACCAGGAAGTATTCGTCTAGCAGCGGTTTCACCCCATTATATTCTCCAAGGATGTGGATCTGTTCCGGTACCAGTGGTGGGACTCTCCAGATCCCATATCTTCTATATCACTCGTACATCCAGGACGGAGCTGGATACCTCTCATCACTGCCTGTAGAACCACCTTTGGTTTAGAATCGTCGCACTTGTAATGTTTGCCATCCAAAAACGGAACTCTATTCCATTATATGTCCTATCCCCCAACTATCGAAGGTCCTCGGGGCTGCACACCTTGCTTTAACTACTTTACGCGTATCCTTTGCATAGTTTACTTAGTGCATATATTACTTATCACATATGGTAGCATTGAATTGAATGTTGACAACTTGTAGCAATGATAATCTATGGATATTATATACAAATTATGTTATATTTACCTGCGTATTTACATAGTTGCGTATACACACACCCATATACACATACAAATATATGACTAGTTAGTTAAATGTTAGAGTGCCAGTTAAATTTATTAAAGAGTACACCAAGTATAGCCAAAACATTTTAACAAAAACCTCCGGTTCCTTTCAATGTGATGACCAAGGGGAACTAAACACTCAGATGGAAGCTATATGATGCGTTCAATATAATTAACTTCTCTTCACTAATGAGACGAGGCCCAAGAATCGTAGGAAAACCAGGTTTTAACTTAAAAATACAATTTGGACTTTAATGACTACGTGAACAAGGTGATGTGTTTCTAAGACTATGGCTACCGGAGCACGCCAATCCCTCACTGGGCCATCCGGTGCAGGAGCATGAAGACTGCGGTGGCTCCGAGACCCAGACTGACCACAGAAGCGCCGGCATTCTTGCGATCCGCAATGCTGCCGTGCGGAATCTCGTTCGAGGAGTCATCCGGTGGCAGCTCCGGCACAGCCAGCTCGTCCACGGCGAGCATGGTGGCCTCATTGATGGTCCGCAGGAGTGGATAGTTCTGGCTCGATCTCTTGGGCAGCGCAGTCACCTTCTGGAAGTCCTCGTACGTGTCCTCGTCCAGCTTGCAGTTGCCCAGGAAGTCGTCCGTGTCCACCGACCACACCATCACTCCCGCCAGCCGCTTGGACATGGCAAACAGCACCTTGTTGGCAATGGAACGGGAGCTGTCGTAGGTGACCACGTTGATCTCCTGGGTGAAGATGTTCCGCTCGGACTTGGCCAGCACCTGGCTGGTTTGCGGATCCCACTCCCTCGTCCATCCGGAGGTCTGGTTGCTCAGCGTCTGGCAGATCTCGTTGTAGCCCAGGAAGCCGTCCTCCCGCGTGTAGGGTCCCTTGAAGCCTACTCCTTCACTGACGTCGTTTAGGCCTCCGCCGGCCAACGTCTTGAAGGTGCGTCCGTAGAAGGGCAGGCCCATCACCAGCTTCTCCGGCGGCGCGCCCAGCTTCAGCAGGTAGTCAATGGAGAATTTCTGTAAAAATACATAATAGCGTTCATATACTCTTCCTGATTAGCAACTTAATCTTATGAAGGATATCGGGCATTTAATCCCAAAATGCATTCCTTTGCACGGAAATTTCAACCCAGGTGCACTCACCACACTCAGCGGATCATCCGCGGGCGCCGAGAGCGGAGCGTTGTAACCCACTCTCTGGTCCCAGCTGCCATGGTAGTCGTAGCACATGATGTGCAGGTAGTCCAGGTAGCGCGAGATCTGGCGCACGTCGTAGGCCTCGTCGATGACCTTCTTGGACGCCCCGATGGCGGAGGTCAGCAGCAGCCCGTGCTCGTCGAACTCCTCGCGCAGCTCCTTGGTCAGCAGGACGAAGTTCTCGCGATCCGCGGCCTTTCCCCCCCGCTGCGTGGGGTACTCCCAGTCCAGATCCAGCCCGTCGAAGTTGTACTTGCGTATGAAACTGGACACCTGCTTGACGAACCTGCCGCGCAGCAGATTGTTGGCCACCAGGATGGAGTAGTTGGCCGAACCCTCGTTCCAGCCGCCGATCGCCAGGCTCACCTTCAGATGCGGATGGCTGCGCTTCAGGCCCGTCATTTTCTCGTACCCACCCTTGCCGTATTCCTCCTTTAGGTCCTGCCAGGGATCTGCAATCAACAGTGGAAACCTTACTATGCCAAAGCCTTTCAATTTGCATACGGCCATAAATCGAAACGGCAACTCACCCAACGACTTGATGGCTGCCTGGGTGATGTCCAGACCCGCGAAGGCGTACACCACATGGGTGCACAGGCTGGGATCGAAGTTGTCGAAGGCATAGGCGCCCTGCTCCGGCCGGTACACAGCCCACGTGGAAACGTAGCAAACCACCACCTTGTCGTGCAGTGGCCCTGCGAATAGAAATCGAACGACAGTGAGCAGTGAGCCACCCCTTTGTGGTTAACCGGTGCGTAAGACCCACCTGTCCTGGCGGCCACCGAAGCCCACAAGCTGCCCGCAGTGCTGGCCAGGAGGAGGAGCAGCCACAGCTGCGGTGCTTCCCCACTAAGTCCGCCCCTCAGCGTCATCTGTTGCGGCTTGGTTTTCTGGGGAAGAAGAACCGGAATCAGTTAAGTGCTTTGCGTGGTTGGCGCGCAACTGTGTTGTGACAATTTATAATTCCAATTCAGCCAATTGCCGTCTTAATTGAACGGGAAAAGTGAAAGGCACAAGTAGTGACCCATGTAGTCAAAAAAAAGCTCGGCATTCTAAAGTCAATTTCTAGGACCAGAAGGTAGCTGCAGTCCATTATTTATAGATATTTTTCTTAATTGTTTCGGTTTATGGAGATTGGCATTGGTCGTTCAAGCAGCGAAATACACATAATGCGTTTATTGATAAAAACAAACTGCACTGCAGCATTTCCATTGCCAAATGAAACAGAAGTTTCTTAAAGTGCACTTAGGTTTGTGGCAGAACAACTACACACAGTGAGTCACAGCTTATTTCAAAAACCGAAAACAAGCCGAATGTAATCAGAGAATCCGCCTTGTTCTGTCCAGATCGAGTCATTCCGCAAGTGTGGACGATGAAGCCGTCTGACCATATTGGAGTGGGTAGTCGGGTGGTCCAACCTGATTCTCAACTTTCGCCGGTGCGCCCTTAAGTGGCTGGTAAGCGAATCTTGGTGCATCGGCCAGAACCATGAATCATGCTGACCCCAGCTGCAGAGCGTATTTTATTATCTTTGCCGAGGCAAAACAAGTTGGCCTTGATATCTCGGGCCTGATAACGAGCGGCATGAATAGGCACTTAAGAGTTGGTAATTTGGTTGAGCTGGAAAATAGGAAGTGCGCACCGAGAAATTGGTGGAAAACAAAGCTCAGAGCGTTTTCACTTTCCGGCTTTTCCCCCAGATTTATGCATATAAATTTGCTTCCTTTTTGTTTGATTTTTATTTTGCTGCTCAGCTTGCCCCTGGCAAACCGGAATTCAACGTTCATCACGAGATTAGAGCCGAGTCGAAAAGCGCGGCTACAAAATCGAAATCGAAACGGAGAGAAAAAACCAGGCCGCGAGCCCGAGAACAAACTTCACTTGGGGTGGAGATGGGCTCCCAGATGGATTGGTGGCCACATTCGCACTTGGCCGGCTGCGCATGCGCAGCGGAGGAAGTGGGCAGCCAATTAACAGGCACACAAGCACACTCACACGAGCGGAGTAACCCTCAGGTGACATAAAAACAAGTACGTTCACTGTGCTCCTTAGTAAGTAGCTGCACATAGGGCACATATGTGGAGCCACTAACGTGCCCAGCGTATCGAATTCATACGGTTGGCACTATGTTTCTTTGCACTATGTTTCATTACCCGATCTCAAGTTGATTTTCCGCTTTAGCGACCACGAAACTCTTAGCACCGCCCTCGAAGCCAGCTCGCTTATAACTGAACTCGCCTCTCCGTCTTCGCTCGTGGCCACAGCGACAACTGATACATATGTATATTTCGCTCCGTCGCACCTCTGTGGAGCCACTCAAGCCGAACCCGATCCACTCTCCCCCAAGACGTCCAAGAGCCGAAGTGCCAAGACGTTGGAGCGGGAAAGAAGTCGCGCTCAACATAAATTCAACATCGAAGAGAAATGAACTGAGCGGTTCGAAGAGAAGGCTTCAAAAGTGTGAAGAGCATTGAAGAGGCCTTCCAGCTTTCTGAAAATTAAATATATATACATAAATATATTAATTTAATAGCATATGCTATTTATATTTATCACTAAATATGCTGTGATAAAATATGGTAGTCATAATTGGTGCAGAGTTATATACTGCACTCTAGAACATACAGATCTAGCACGCCTTGAGTTAAGTTTCCTCTTTAGTTGTAGATCAAGGAGGTGTTCGAATTGAAATCAAGTCATTTCTACATTCACTAAGCCTCATGTGGGAAGTCACTCACCGCACTTTATAGTTTCAACTTTAAACCCACAAATCTGAGGGGTTAGGTAAGTGTAACTTTCAAACTAACCGATAAGTCGCGCCGAAGCTATCGGTCTATCGGGCTTTTGCGCGTGAGGCACGGGCCATCTCTGCTTGCTGGACGTAAACAACGTAAAATCGGGAAATTAGGAAAAGTCCAGCGGAGCGGGAAAGCAGGCAGATCAGAGAATTTAGACGTGCTCCACCGGCGATGGACGCGGAGAAGGATTCTATTGCGAGCGGAGCGGCATCCGCCTGCAAACGTCAGAGGCGCAACACTGATTCCCAGAACGACGGTGGGTCTGGAAACGAGGCGCAGGTTGGGTAAGTGTGGTGTCTTTGGTTAAGCAAGCTCTGCAGCTTGGATAACCCATTGATTTTTTTCCCGTGGGGAACCAGCGAGGAGAACACTGTCGCCGCGAACCAGCCTTTAATTAACTGCGACGCAATCGCCACCAACAACAATAACGAAGAGCACGACATGGCGAGCAAGGAACACCCGCTCCAAGAGGAAAGAGATCAGCCAGAGAAGGATCATGCTAATGACATTGAGCCTGTGGAACTGCCGGATATAGAACAGGCGAGCTCCTCCAATCTAGTGTATCAACAATTATCGCCGGAAGCAGCCTCCGCTGCGCTGGTTTCCAATGAGCCAGAAGCCACCGGTACCATTGAGCCTATTGACAGCGACGACGATCCACCTACTTCCCCGACACCAGGTGAAGCTTCCGAGGCGGTCACCACACTCCGCTTCAACCCACGCAACATACCAGCCACGCGCTCCTATCGTCGCATCAGCATAGAGCTAGTGGGCACGGTGACCGACTCAGAGTCAAGCGATTCCCAAGCACCAGAGCTGGAAGAGGGGACCGAGCACGCGGAAGAGGACAGCGATGACGCGGCGGACCCGCATATAGCCGAGTCCGCTGACGACAGTTCTTCCAACGACGACATGGTACGCTATTCACTTTCCAGTGAAGATGATACAACGACAGAGGTAGGTTATTTAGCTTTAAGCGATGGTAAGGATCGTACATCCCTAGGTTACAAAATTAGTTACTTAGAGATAAGTTGGGCTCTTAATGAATCCTTACTAACAGGTTGGGAACTTGCAGGACGAAGTGGAGTTCAACGAGCACGTCAATGCCGCCGACCGCGAGAAAGTGGACTACGCCGTGGATGAGGTGATGTGCAAGTGCAAGCCCAAATACACGTGGAACTACGATCAGGAGCTGTTGCAAAGGGAGCACAACATAATTAACCGGATTGGCTGGCGTGGCGGCCACACTTCGGCCTTGAGCTTTGGCCAGGGCTACTACGGCTCCCGCCAAGTTGTGGAACAGTTGACGCTGCTCAGCTCGCTAAACGAACACGACGGCTGCGTCAACTGCCTGAACTTTAACCGAGCCGGCGACTTGATTTGCTCCGGCTCCGATGATCTCACCATCGTCGTGTGGGATTGGGCGAAAGAAAAGAAGCTGCACCGCTTTCGTTCCGGCCACAATATGAACATATTCCAGACGAAGTTTATTGACAGTGCCGGCTGCTTGGACATCGTGTCCTCCAGCCGTGATGGCCAGGTGCGCCGATCCGTCATTCCGCCCTCCGGAGGCGCCGTTAAACCCGTCCGCCTGTACACACACAGCGAGTCCGTTCACAAGATAGTCCTGGTGCCGCACAGCCGCCACGAGCTGATGAGCGCCGGCGAGGATGCGGCTGTCAAGCACTTTGATTTGCGCGCCAGCAACGCTGCCACCACGATGCTGCGCTGCGTGCACGACGAGGTGAATAAGCGGGCCCGGGTGCGCCTGTTCAGCATCGCACATCATCCATATGCGCCGGAGTTCTGCGTCAGTGGATCCGACGACAAACTACGCGTTTACGACAAGCGCAACCTTGCGCAGACCCTCGTCCAGATGACCCCGAGCAGTATTGCGGATGTGAGCATGTGCCGCGCCCCAGGCCAGGCAGTCTAATCTCTGTTTTCTTCTCGTGTCCAGACCAAGATCACGCAAATCACTTGCGCCGTGTACAACCACAGCGGCAGCGAAATCCTGGCCTCTTACAGCGATGCGGGTATTTACCTGTTCGACAGTCGGAACAACCAGCCCGGCGAGTACTTGCACTGCTACCAGGGTCACATGTAAGTACTGCCTGCAGCACCGAGTGTTCTGGCACTCACATATCATCTCCTGTCCCTCACAGCAACAGCCGCACCATCAAGGGAGTGAACTTCTTTGGACCCAGATCGGAGTATATAGTAAGTGGCAGCGACTGCGGGAATATATTCTTTTGGGACAGAAACACGGAGGCGATTATCAACTACATGAAGGGCGACCACGCCGGCGTTGTCAACTGCCTGGAACCCCATCCCTGGATGCCGGTGCTGGCCACCTCTGGACTTGAGCACGACGTCAAGATCTGGACACCAAATGGACCTGAAAGGGTATGTTCCACACATGTAATTTATGAAAGTTGTAATGAAATCCACTCTCCGCAGAAAGTCCCCGATGAGGACTCACTGAAGCAGACGCTGCAGCGCAATTTTAGGCGCAACCTGGTGGACAGTGTTGACCTCGATATCAACAATTTCCAGTACCTTATACGCGGCTTCCTGCAGGGATCCGAAGGCTCGTATTTGCGTCGGAGACATGCGTCCTGGCAAGGGCGTCAGCCGCAGGACGACAACAGCTCCAGCCCCAGCGACGGCTCTAATCCTTCCAACCCGGTTTTCCGGCGGCGCAGCAGCAACAGCTCCGACGACACAAATGACGAGGGAGTAGCCGCTGCAGCTGCGTTGGACACGCTGCACTGCCGCACGCAGTGAGAACTCCCCAAGAAGCCGGGGACGTGCTTAGAAAGGCGTCCTCGGCCATTATATAATTTTGGATATAACTATGTTAGAAAGCGTTTCTGAAGCTGTGAATTTGTAACCGTAACACATAAGTGCGCATATTTTATTTTTAAACAAGGTTTAATAAATGCTCATTGAGAATAAAACACTGCACTTTGCTTTAATGATATGCGTGCTTATATGATTTAATGATATGATAATTATTATGAATGAATCAATGATGCCTAACAATAAAAGGACGCCCAATGGAGCTCAGTCGTTGGTCTGGCAGATGAGGGCCACGCTTCGCTTGACCCAGTGGGATGCCTTGACATGGGTGTTCAACAGGAGCGGTACCACGTAGTTTGTGGAGTGACCTGTCGTGGACAGCGTTCCCTTGCGCTCGGCGGTCTTATAAAGCGGGCAGCGGTAGCGGGAGCCCTCGACCACATCTACGAGGCCGACGGGTCGGAAGAAGATAACGGGCATGGCATAGATGAGCACCTTGGGAAACTGTTCGACTAGCGTGTTCTCGCGCCAATCCCAGCGGGCGCCCTCCAGGTACAATCCGTTGCAGTACACGCCGTCGTCCGGAGGCGAAGCCTTTGTCTCCACCTTGAGCACGTCGTAGTCAAAGGTCAGCGTGTCGATGGGGATCTTGTACTTTCGGGCAAAGTTCTGCATGGCGCCCGTGAGGAAGGCCTGCGTGAAGAAGAATCCAGACAGCCAGAAGGTTGGGGGCTTGCCGTTATGATGCCAGTCGTGGAGCCAGTTGAGGCGCTTGTACAGATCCTGGACGTAGGAGCCAAGTGGCTTCAGGCAGGGGTACGACTTGGACATCCACTTGGTCGGGATGCGGTTGAACTTCATAGCTGTCATCACGTTCTCCAGGTCGGGTGTCATCACGATGATGCCCTTAATACCCATAGCCAGATCGCGACAGGTGCTGCGGATCTCCTTCTGTAACTTGAGAAACCGTTCCATCTCCTGCACCACCACTGTGTTCATGGACTCGTTGTAGTCCACTGGGTACTTTTCCGCCGCCCCCTCGATATCCATATCCGGTGGCATTTCGCGCTCGATTTGCTTGATTGTTTCCAGGATTACCTGCTCCACACTAACCCCTGCGCCGGCGGATCCCGCAGCCTCGCTGCCCAATAAAAGGATCATCGAGTCCAGCAGCGTCTTGGTCGTCTGCAGATCCCGTGTAATGCCGGAGTTGGCGTGCAGGCCGTAGACCTCGGGCGGCGCGAGCGAAGGGAGGTTCTCGTCCAGATACCGCAGGATCTCGCGGTGCTCCGTCTTCCGTGGCAGGATGTAGCGATCGTCGCTGGCAAACCTATAGCGATTGTCGGATACGGCCTGGGCGTTGCAAAAGTCCGCAAGGATCGTCACGATCAGCCGGCGATCCCAGTTGTCCGTGACCCTTCCGCCGTAGTTGCACTCGCTGGTCAAATAGGAGATGGCGTCGTACGGCACGTGATCATATTGGTTGAGCAGCATCTAAAGGAAGCAGGCTAACATAGATACATGGAACATCTACATTACAGTAGCAACTTACGCTCAGCTGCAGCACCGAGATCTGCAGATCGGACTCGTTGAATCCGTAGGCTATGTTCCAGCCCAGTGGGCCGTACTTGCGGCGCTCCTGCACAACAGCATGGAAGAAGCAAATGCCGTAGAGCAGCCGGGTGAAGGCGCGGTCCTGTTTGGCACAGCCCGTGTAGAACTCGTAGTCGTTGATGGGCTCCGAGTTGTAGGAGCGCATCAGATTCTCCTTGAGTCCGGTCGGCGGTTCGTTGGTCATTTTGACGCCGTTCTGCAGAATGGTCACCGGGAACTGGGGCGTGGGATAGGCGGTTAGCCAAATGCGGAAGTTGGCTGCAATGGAGGAAGGGAGGGATTGGGTAATTAGGACTTTCAAGCTTAGATATGCATTTGGGACACTCACGCGTGGTGTTAAAGGTGTCCATGTTCTCCCAGAGGTATTCCAGGTAGGGCATCCAGGAGGCGGCCAAGTGGCAGTTCTGCAGGCACACCCAGTAGCCCATTTCCTGGGCATTCTTGATCAGAGCCGTGGCTATCGGACCCTGGCCCTGGCCTAGCGAGATGCTCTGGAAGCTCTCCTCCTGGCCCATCTTCTCGGCGAAGGCCAGCAGGGAGCCGAGTGGGTCCGCTCCGGGAGAGAGGATGAACACCAGCGGCGTCAGAGCAGTGGAGTCAGCATACGACTTGGAAATGTCGAACTCCGGCGGGGTCACATACTGATCGCCGATGCACTCGGCAATGAAGATGCGCACGGCCAGGAAAACCGAGTCGGGCCGCAGGGCCTTCAGCACAATGATCTTCTCGAAGGCGGTGGTCTTATCTTGCCAAGGCGGAGGCAATGGCTGCTTCTCCGGGGAGGAGTGGTCGTAGATTGCCTGCCAGGCATGCAGATGGCTCCTGAAGTGTTCCACGATGCCACGTAGCTCCTTGAGCTCCTCCAGACGGAGCACATTCAGCCACACGGTCTCCGTAATCCAGCTGGGGTCCGGGTTCGGTGGTATGTTCAGCGACTCCTTGGCATTGGTCACTAGGTGGGCAAAGTGGCGCATTTCCACCTGGCCCGTGCCCAGCAGGATGCGAGCAGTAAGAATAAATGAGTAGAGCAGCTTGTCCTTCTCGAAAATGGACCGGCACACGTTGTTGTACAGATTCCGGGTGAAGCCGTCCACCAGAAACTTAATGCGCCGCGGCAGATCCTTGGACTTGTTGGCCGTCTCAATGGAGTACATGTACAGATTAATGTACCAGTTGAGTGAGAACTGGTACATGGGATCGATGTTCGGCAGATCTGTGATGGAGTAGTAGAGTATGGACGAGTGCACTGCCACGGGCTTGTAGTTCAGCCGGAAGGCCTCGATCTTGGCCACAGTCTCCTTGGCTGCCTCCTGCTTCTCGACGATGTCCTTGGACAGCCCCTTGGAGTCCGCCAGGATTTGGATGGCTGCCTCGTTCTCCAAGATGTCACCGCCTGCGCTGAGCGTCTTCAAAATCATGTTCTCCGCATCCCGCAGAGCTCCTTTATTGGCCGCCGCCTCCGTAGTGAGCGTGATGCGCAGCTCCTGCAGGTCCGGCCGCTCCTTGGCCACCACAATGCTGAGCAGCTGATCCATCAGGGCATTCTGGGTGAGGGCAAAATTGATGACGGTCACCTTGTTGAAGGTCTCCGGTAGAAAGTGCGGATTGCGCAGATTGCAGGTCATGTACAGGCGGAAGTTGGGGTTAACCGGCACCACAGACTCGCCCAGGCTAATGTGCTTGACTCCGCCCTGCACGAAGGTCTGCCGCATCAGGATGGGATCGAGCGGCACCTCCAGCTCCTCCTGCACGTTCTCTATTATCACGGGTGTTCCGTACTCCAGGGCCTCTGCTATCACCCGCATGTAGTTGCTCTGGTTGAACTTGACGCAGTTCAGCCGGTTCTTGCGCTCCATGTTCTTCAGCCAGTTGTTGGCCTGCGCCTGCGGATCGATGAACAAGCTGTATCGGCTGGAGTTGGCCGAGATGATGGCATTCTCGCTGGAAAACTCGTCGTTGGGCAGGCCGTCCAGCTGCCAGTTCTGGATGGTCACCTCCAAGCCGAGCACATCCGTGATCGAGTAATGGGAGGAGCAGGGAATCTTTAGGTCCGTGACCTTCTTGAACCAATCCCTTACGCATTCGGAGCGGTACTGCAGATTCACTGCGGAGAGGTAGGCAATAATCCCGCAGGATATGAGCACATCGCCAGGCAGGTGGTCGTACAGCTCCTGCAGATCCTCCGCAGCCTTGTTCCACCGGGACTTCTCCCCACCCAGTCCACCGATGAGAGCCTCCGCCCGGAGCAGCTTGTTGCGACAGTTCTCGGCGTGTTCCTCTGTCTTTTGCATCTCAGCGTTGGCCTTGTCCAGTTCGATGTTCAGCAGGGCCACCTTTTCCTCCAGAGCCAATGCCAAGGCCCGCTTTTGGGCCAGAAACTCCATGGTGTCGGCGTACTCCTTTTCGGCTCCGGCCAGCTTGGCCTTTTTGGGCGCCACCACCTTGGCCACCTCGTCGTACATCATCATAGCAATGATCCACTGGCACAGACCCTTGGCAGCACTGGAGGCCTTGGCCACCACCTTAGGATCGAAGTCCTTGTTGGGTATGAACTCCTTGCGGATACGCTTAACGATCTCTGTCGGAATATTGTCCTTGTCGAACTCCTTGAGGCCCGGCAGGAAGTTCATCTCTCCCAGAAGACGCTTGCTCGGTCCCCAGTAGTCTTGGACCATTTTCCCAGAGGCTGGATCCGGGATGCGCTCGGGCGGAATGCCCTTGATCACACAGACAGCAGCCATAACCAGCTTTATCACGGGCGGTGGATTCTTCATCGACTTGACCAGTGTAATGTCCGCCGGCTTAAGGGTGTTCAGTGCAGCCAGGGCATCTTCCAGGACGGGAATGGCCTTGGCCAAGTCCCGTTCACAGTCCTGCTTCAGCACCTGCGCAGCCTCGGCCTGCACGGATGCCACTTCCTCGTCACGCTTCACCTGCTCGGCGGCGGCGCTGGCGGCGAGCGTCTCCTTGTTGATCTCCAGCATCATCTTCCGGGATGATTCGGCCAGGGCCACCAGCTTGGGTTGCAGCGCATTAAGATCCCTCTGCATGATGGAGATGGCGGCGGCTGCCTGGGCCAGTGTATCCAGGCCCCCAATGTAGCGCATCTTGGCCAGCATGGTCTCACTTTGCTTGCGCTCGATGAGCGTCTGGAAGGAGCGGATCAGCTCGATGAAGGAGGCGTTCGTCTGGTAGATGTGGCGACCCGTCATTTGGCAGAAGGCGCGCGTGGAGCGCGCAGCCGTCGTGTGGAAGTACTGGCAGGTGTCCATGATGGCCAACTTTATGTCCTCACTGGGCACCTTGACATCGACCAGCGACATCTTGGCAATCATCTGCAGGGCCTCCTCGGGCCAACTGTCATACCAGTCGATGGTGCAGCAGTTGACCAGCGACGGATAAAGGCGCACCCGTGTCCTAAGGGCATCTCCGATGGGCGAGAAGCTGAGGATCATGTGCAGCTTTTGCTTGCAGCGGTCCACGAAGAAGGAGAAGACCTGCAGCGCGGACACGTCGATGTTGCGATTCCCGCCCTGGGCGGCCAGACGCACCATTTCCAGGACCTCCTGCTTCTCGTCGATTGGAAAGATGTTGGGTACCTCGCCCTGGTTCAGCAGGCAATCAATGTCCTGGAGGAAGAGCTCCATCTTGATCTGGTTCTCGGTTATCAAGAACGTTGTGTGCTTGTTCATTCCGCCCGCCTCCTTCAAGATCGCCTTGATGTCGTCGTGCCAGTCGTTGGCCCCGTAGTTCTTGGTGATTTCCGGCTGGAAGAACGAAGTCTGCACCATGTTGGTGGCCAGCTTGGTCAGGGACTGGCGCCCGGAGCCGCCCAGTCCTATGATCAGGGCACTTGCTCCCTGGATGGAGATGATGCGGCATATGCGGTTCAGATGCTGCAGAGCAAAGGTGAAGAGGGTAATGTCCATCTTGTTGCGGCGCGTGGAGTTGTAGTCGTCCAGGCTGGTGAGGGCTAGGTTCAGGAACACCTCCACGCTGGGCACCTCCTCGTAGCGCCGCTCATCCGCAACGCTGTCCTCGTCGAAGTAGACGCCGAACAAAATGTTGCTGGCCGCCTCCATGGTGAACACCGGTTCGTCAGGGCCCTGAATGGTCATGGATGGATTCTTAGAGGTCTATATCTATAACTGCTGGTGATCAATCTTACCTGAACGCAGTACCTCTCGAAGACCGTCTCCACCTTGTCCTTGAAATTCGCCTTGAGGCACTCGTTCAGCTTGTCGAACATCCACTTGCGATCCACGTCGTCCACCAGGCGATCGTAGAAGACGCGCATCGCCTCGTGGTACCAGACGCGCACGAAGATCTTCTTGTCTGCCACCGACTCCTTGCGCACCAGGGTGCATCCGGTCACCACGCGTGACATGTCTCGCAGGTTGAATATGTAGTGCGACTTGGCTGGCGTAGCCCTGATCTCCGACTGCACGCTCTTGTAGATGCTCTGTGTGGCGCTCACTATCTGGTTGGTCACCACGAACACATCCTGTCCGTGGCCAGCGCGTCGGAAGCCATTCAGCGCCACGTTCAGGAATATGCGGAACATACTGTCGTCGCTGAACGTGTTGATGGAATACACGTTGAAGTGGTTCAGGAAACGGGCGTAGACGTCCTGGCGGCTGCCGCCGGGCAGGCCGCATGCGGCCATGATCAGGACATTGTGGATGTAGACCTTGGAACTGTCCTTCAGGTCGTAGACATGGCCGTAGTCGAAGAACTGGCGCAACAGCTCCAGTGGCGGCTGGGCACCGTAAACCTCCTTCACCGGCATGTTCATGTCGTCCACGAAGAGCACACTCTGCATTCCTTTGGGCGGACCGTAGATGCCTCGCTTCCACTTCTGCAGCTTGGATATGAGAAGATCTTGGCACTGGTTGGCCGAGATCATTACCGTGAAGGTGATGAATCCCGTCTCGAACACCTCCTTGTCCAGCTTGTTCATCAGGTAGTTCTGCACGTAGACCGTCTTGCCGGTGCCCGTTGGTCCCACAAGCAGCATTCTCTTCTTGTGCTCCACGTGCATCTTCAACAGGTGGATGTAGCGAGCGGTGTCCACGGTGGGCACTATGACACCAGTCTTGGTCTCCTCGACGTCCATACGCTTGGCGAGATCCGGCCAGTATCGCCAGGCTCCACGCTGCTTATACTGGAACACGTAGTCCACCAGCAGACCCTCTGTGGGCGGAGTGATCTCCATCTTGCCCAGCGGCTCCGGGGGCGGCGGTTCAGTGTCCCAAAGCTAGGGTGGATATTTTATGTAACCAGGTACCTAAGTTAATTTGCCGCACCAATACCTTTTTTAGGAACGCGTCGAACTTCTCGCGGGAAGCTGTGTCCAGCACTCCACCCACTCCCCAAATCAGAGCGAACAGTATGGCCGCCTGGAAGTAGCTCTGGATGTACTTCTGGTAGTCCTCCGGGTTCTCCTCGATCGCCTCCGCGATCTGCATGTCGAACAGGTCGAAGGTGGTCAGCATGCAGTTGAACTCCCCGGGCTTGATAAACTGGCTGCAGAACCGCCGGACGAAGGTCTGGCACTGAAATTGATAGAGATAGCTGGATAGAAGATGAGCTTCTGGGACTGAGAAGGAGTACTTACGGGCGGCAGAAGCCACTGCAGCAGGGCCATCACGTAGGGCACGCCCTCTTCATCAGCCCATCGAGGATCGGCCTTCTTCAGCCAGGTTTTGGCGAAGGAGCGCCACCCGAGCGTCGAGGGCTCCATGTAGATCATGCCACAGCGGGAAACGGTGGCTGGCGAGGCCTGCGCCAGATCCATAACCTCGAACACCATCGACATCTCGTTGCTCATGGTGATCACCTCACCGCTGGTCAGGCACAGCTTTTTGTTGTCGTCCAGCACCGTGTTCATGTTCTCAATCCAAACGGCGTCCACGGGACCATCGAAAATGACCTGAGATCGTATCGTATTTTCTGCAAATGGCAGTTGGAACGGTTGTGCAAAAGACTCACCCACTTCCTGTCCGGCGTGGGCGTCATGGCAAAGTCGCGGAAGATCTTGGCCACCAGGCCGTCGGTCCACTCGTACGAGATCGGGTCGAAGGAGCCGTACAACTGGTTCATGGTAATGGACTTCGGGTTCATTATGCCCATTTGAACGTGCTGAAAGTAATTGCTCTTCTGCGGCGCCTTGATCTTCAGCGCAGACAGGACCTTGGCGAGGACCTGCAGCGTCTTGGACTTGCCCGCCAGCGGTTCGCCCACCAGCATGAACCCGTGCCGCACGATGATCATTTCGTAGGTCTGGATCACCTTGAGCAGGAAGCTGGGCGCGGGCTCCAGGACTTCCTCCAGGCAGACGCGCTTGAACTCGGTTTCCACCAGGGAGTAGTCAATGTGTGGCAACTTGATGCCCGGGAATATGTCCGAGATAATGCCCTCGAACAGGGGAACATCGAAGGAGAGGAACTTGGGCAGGTTTACGTCGATTAAGCTCCGCAGCAGCAGGATGTCCTCCACCTCGTCCGGATACTGCTTCTTAATGTTGCCGCAGGCGGAGAGCACCGTCTTCACGGCTCGCATGCCGTAGTCGTAGTGATTCTGGCTAGACAACTGTTCCGAGCAAAGTCGGTAGGTGGTCACAATCTTGACGGCCAGCTTGCGGGCATCCACGAAGCCGTAGGAGTACAGGGAAATCTCCCCGATCATGGCGTAATCCGGCACCATCATGGCCACAGACCGGAAGAGCACTTTCAAATTATCCGGCAACTCGGATCGGCCGGCGTAGCCGGGATTCATGGTGATGCAAACGTAGCAGGCGGGATTGAGGGTCAACTCCGTGCCTTCAAACATGAACTTGGCCGCGTTGCTGCGAACAGCTTGAATGATGAGCAGGATCTGTTGCGCCACCACGGAGAGCACCTCCAGCTCGATTCGATTGAACTCATCGAAGCACGCCCAGGCACCGCACGAAGCCAATCCCTTGAAGAACTTGCCCATCGCCTTGTAGTCCAGGCCGTCGGAGCAGTTGAACACCTTGCACTGCACGGCCAGCGCCTTGGCCAGATCCTTGGTGGTCTCAGTTTTTCCCGTTCCAGCCGGGCCCTCCGGAGCTCCGTTGAGATGCAGTTGATAGGCGCCCACCAGGGTGCGGTAGCAGCGGTCCGTCAGCGGGGTGATCACCAGGCGATCCGAGTTGCCCAGATATTCGTTGGCAAAGGGCACAGTGGCGTTGATGATTCTCACCCAGGTCTTGTCGTCCTCCCAGTAGTATCGCATCTGGGCCAGCCACTGGAAGTCGAACTCACTGCTGACCTTGTTCTTGATGAGATCCTCGGACACGTCCTTGGCGTGAACATCGATCACGATCAGGGACTTAATGGTGATCCGGTTAAGGTTGCTAATCTTCGGCGAGCGGACCAAGGTCACAATGTCGTTCAGCTCCTTGGACAGTTCTTGGAAGAAGTTCAGCATAATGGTCATGTTCCCGCCAAACGTGCGGCGCAGGCATCCGTGGACACGGGCTGCCCAGTACACCTGCGAGATGGCCAGCACCGTCATCTGGGGCCACTCCAGAACCCACTCGTGCCGCTTTACCTTTGGATAGTGGGCAAAGGATAGCTCGTTCTGGTAACGCACTGCCTTGAGCATTTCATCCTCCACGCCGATGAGCCACTTCTCCACACTTCCGCCGGCCGCCGCTGTGGAAACCTGCTCTATGAACTCAATTGATTCCTTGTCACTACTGATCATGGCCAGCACGTTCTTGGCCGCATCGAACTCCAGGCTGTTGATGCCCTCGAAGCACTTGCTCAAGTGGGGAAGCACGCGGAGCGGATCCTTTGTCTCCGAGAGAATCTCCAGCATTTCGTCGTTGGCCAGAAAGAAGAAGCGCGGGAAGTACAGGCGCTTCTTCTCCAGATAGTTACTCACTCCGGTGGCTATGTCCTCCAGCAACTCGTTTGCCTTCTGCAGGGACTCCAGCAGACCCGAAACTGGCGCTGTTTCCATCACCAGCGGCTGTCGGAGGACCAGGCCCATGTTCCTCGTATATGTCTGCTCCACGATGACGAAGAGGCGACCCTCCTCCGGCATCTGGGCCACGATGTCCTTTGATGAGAAGATGGGCAGAAGGTACAGATAGTTCGCCTGCACCTTGCCCCACTGGTCCAGTGTTTCATTCACGCGCATGATCTTCTCATACCACGCCCGCACCTCCTCCTCGCAGGGCTTCATGAATGCCGAGCCCCGCATGACGAGCGTCTTGAGAATGTGGTCATCCAGCAGGGCTTGAATGTCGTCCAAGCTGTTGAGGATCTGTACGCCCGTCTCCTTGTAGGGACCATAGGGAAACACCCTGGTCTCCCACTCCTTGATCATGGCCTGCAGGGCGTTCCACAGCTGTAGTTCCTTGTTTGCTCCGATGCTGATGATTTCGAACTGGTCGAGGATCGGGTCCAGGCCAGAGTTGAGAATCTTGCGCAGAGTGGTGCCCGCATCGGGTGTCACGTCAAATCCTGCAATCTCGGACATCTCCTTCCAGTGGCGCTTGCGCAGGGCGGGATTACACATTGTGTTCACTATAAACACGCCAGTGGTGAAGTCTTTGATCGACTGTATCATCGAGGTGCACAGTCGCAGGGGCACTGGGTGTTTGGCCGGATCTGGATCTTCAGTTTGACCCTGCAAAAGATTCGATGTGCTATCACAGAATGGTCATGCCCAGTGATCTCACCTTGAATTTGCACACGGGATTGTCGATAAGATCCTGCTTGATCTTGACCCTGTAGTACTTTTGGTTCTTCTGGAACTCCTTGAGGTAGTCGTCTGTGGTTCTCTCCACAAACTGTGGTTCCAGGTACTCGAAGGGCCCGTCGTTCCAAACGCTCAAGTAACGCTGCCACTCTATGCAGCATCTATAAATGGAATCGGTTTCAAGATCTTTGGTTCTTCCTTAAAGATGCATCACTTACTTCATAAGCTCGGCAAAGGGGTAGACAAACGTTTTGATGACCTCCAGTGTGGGATACTCGGTCAGGGCGATCTTGAAGAGCTTCTCTTCCTTGTTGATCCACGCCACGTAGTCGTCGAAGGTCTTCAGCTGGTCTATAAAGTTTTGCAAAATGATATAGCTATCGCGGAACTTGTCCGGTCGACTCATGTCATCAATGACGGCCAGCTTGGGCAGCAGCTCCTCTATGTCGGAGTTCAGCTTCTTGATGACCTCCTGCAGGTGCTCCTCGAAAGTGAACTTGAACTGCTCCTGCTGCGAGGCGTTATAGTCGCAGATGTCGTTGATGTCCTTGATCCAATTGATGGTCTTGATGGTCAGGTCAAAGTGGTACTTGGACATTTCAGTGAGCTCCACGATATTGGTGCCGACTTGCAGGCAGTATTGGATGCGGTCGGTCAACTCGGCGATCTTGTCCTTCTTCACGTGGATCATGTAATCCGCACTCTCGAGCAGCTCCTCCGTTGATTTCGGGATCTCCAGCGCCCGGTACTTAATCTTCTCGAACTCGTCGCATATCTCCACCTCTGCCTTGATGTGCTCCCGAATGATGATCGTGGTGATCTCGTGAATCAGATTCTCGGCCAGGGTGCGGAGCCCAAGTATGGCCGGCTCGTTGTGTATTACGGCCATCACGAAGTATTCGGTTGCGGGCTCGCTCCGCAGCATTTGAATGAATCCGTAGTACATGTCGATCCGGGCAAAATACTCCTCGAACTCGTGCGGTTCGGACAGAAAGTGGTTGAGGGCGTCTCGCTCCTGCCAGGAGTACAGCGCATAGTACTTGTCCCGGAAGCCCTCGATGTACTGAGTTACCTCCTGGTACGTGCGCAGGATAATATTCTGAACTTTGTCTATCACGTCCTTTAGATAGTTATCATTCATCTCGATCTTCAGGTAATCGTTCACCTTCGCATAAGCGGCCATCGATGTGAGTGTCTGCACCTGCGGCTGCAGTGGCTCCATGCGGTAGCCCACCATCGAGATCTCAGTCGCGATCTCGGCGAAGGTGCGCAAGATGGACCAGACATTGGGCCGCGTGTCCAGATCACTGGAGAACTCGGACCACTCCAGGGACATGGTCATCATGGGCATTGTGCGCGGGTGACTGCACATCCGGTTCATTTCCTCGAAGGTCCGGATTTTCATGTTGGTCATCTCGCGGTTCATCAGAGCTTCCAAGGCATTCCAGGACCGCTTCCACGTGCTCATCGGCATTACCCGCTTGCGCAGCAGCTTGCGCAGCACCAGCACAATCTTTGGGTACCAGGTCCACCTCAGAAAGGTGTTTACCTTGTCCAGTTGGTTCTGGATGTACTTGCGGTAGAACTTGTAGGAGAGCGCCTCCCGTCCGCCCAGTCCCAACTGTTGCTGCATGGCGCCGGTGGCCAGCACGTAGTTAAAGATGCAGGCCAAGTTTGGCAGTTCTCCGACCGATATGTTGAGGATGGCTCTCAGCGGAAGCTGCAGGATCAGTAGCTTCTGGGCTATGCGACGTCGGTTCTCCAGGAAGTTGCTGTAGTTCTGTGTGCGACCTGGTCGCCGAAACCCGATGTCTGGGCGGGGCAGTTCGAACTGAGCCGGATCCTCGTCGGAGAACTCCGGATGGCGCAGGATGTTCTTCATGCTATAGACCTTCATAAGTCGGTTGAACTCCTCGTGGACGTCGTGCATGTAGGCCTGCACCAGCTCCGGATACTTGTTCTTCAGGCGCTCCGAGGCAAAGCTTAGAATCTTGGCCTCCGTGCGGCGCAGCATGGGCGGCACCACAATCTTCCTCACCTCGCGACGTAGATTGTCCTCGTAATGGGATTGGGGCAGGAGGCGCATATCCGGCTCCGGCTGCCACTGCTGGCGGGCGACCCGCACCTTGACATCCGCCGCCTTTTGCTTAAGGAACTGATAGTGCCGGCGCTCGTGAACCTCGCTGATGCGGAACTTCAGCAGGGGGTTCTTCATGTACGGCTCATTGTCGTACTTGGTGATATCCGAGGCCGGGCGGTGCATCCGCTCCAGCTTCTTGGTGTACATGGTCGAGCCTTCTTTGGTTGGGATTTCAAAGTGCAGGTATCCGGTTTTCCAATTCTCTGATAGTTATTGTTGCTAAGGCGACTTGTTGTATTTGTTTTGTTTGTTTCCGAGGGGACGACTTCCGGTTCGGCGACCTTGGAGGACAACTACACGTAAGTGTTAAAGTTTATGTTTATTTATTGATCGATAGCGTTATCAATTCGATTGAAAATGACATTATAGATACAGAGATTAACAACAGTTTAGCAACAATAGTAATAGTTACAATAATAATTACATAACGTCTCGCTCCTCCGATTGCGTTCGAGTATACAAAATTCTAAAACACCCGAAATGTTCGTCAAAAAACAGCCTTAAGTGTATGTCCTATAACTTACGCAGCATGAGGGATTGGATTGGATACGGGGTGAGGGGCCGGTAGGTGCGGGACGGGATGTGCTTGTATAGTGTAAAGCGCATTACAGTTCACAAAGTTGTACGTATAGAATTACAAAACATAGATCAGCGTGTCTCCCTCACAATAGTTTCTATAGATTCGTATCAAAGAAATTGCACGTGTTTGATTTGACAATATTTAAATTGGCTTCTTGTGTGTGTTTCATGTTGTGTCTAGGTACTTTAAAACGTTTTCATATCCCATTCGCCGCAACTGCTTCGGTTCAAGCGTATCTCTTTTGGCCCTAAATTAATAACATGTAGCGATCTATTTAGGTGTTATAACAAAAAGTATACATTACTATCCGCTTTTGATATCAAAGTAAATTCAGTCATTTCAGAACTGATCGTTAAGCTATGATGGGCCAACCCAGAACAGGCCTGATAGTTCGTGATTATTGCGTAACTACATACCTACTGGAGTAGGCGAATATGCATATTAAACATTACATAGCCTAGGGGCAACAGTAGTGATTGACTCTAGTTCGCTGCGGTTGGGATTCATTGGTCCTTCGGCCGCTCCACTCGCTACCTCTCGAACTGCAGCACGTAGTCTTTGAGCGGGCCCGGCAGGTTCAGGCAGTTGATGTTTTGGGCCAGCTTGCGGTTCATCGCCTCATAGATGGCCCAGCGGGACAGCTGCTTCAGACTGCGCGGCCGACGGTAGAGGGACGAGATCAGGGCTATCAGCTGCTCCGTCTTCTTACTGGGCACCTGTGCCACGTAAAAGTTGTGCAGGGACTTGAGGCAATTGAAGAGCGGTTCGTGGTGCATGGTCAGGTAGAAGAGATGGATGACGCGCGTATACGTCGCGTGCGGATCGTTCAGGATGAAGTCCTTCTTCGTGATCAGGATGATGTAGTAAAAAAGCAGGTAGCACGAGTTGGTGCGAAACGAACTGCGGAACGTAGCTAGCTCGTTGGAGAAGATGGCGGTGCCGGGCGTGGTCTTTCCGCTTAGCACTATGTTGGGGTCAGCCCCGTACTGGATCAGTGTCAGTGTCAGCTCGTAGACGCACTCCATGTCGTGGCAGGTGCGCACATTATGCACCATGTCCATCACCGCCTGCAGAATATGCTGATATGTCTTATTGCAGTCCAGGCCGTGCTGAAGCAGCATCAGGAGGATGTTCTTGATGAAGTCGAAGTTTGTGCGCTTCTGGGCATCACAATTAAGCGTAAAGTTCTCGCTAACCGTAAACACGAGCACGTGCAGTGGTTTAAGGTTGGCGCGGTAGGCGCAATTGGGATTCGCTCCGTGCTGCAGCAACATCCGAATGCAGTTTAGATAGCAGACCTGCAACCAGGGATTAGCTTTGGAAAAAATAAAATGGAATATACGAGACAGACCTTCATGGAGTGTGTGAAATGATGCAGGTGATCCTTATTAATTAATGGCACTAGCAGAACCATAATGGGCACCGATCCATCCCTTCCCACGATGTTGGGGTCACCTGAAAAATGAGATTATTATTGAAACTGCTGAAATATCAATGTTTTACCAACCATTTTCCTTAATAAGCATGCTGAGCAGTTCGTAGCAGACTTCCCAGTCTCGCAGGTGTCGAAACACACAGGCCATGGCACTGTTCCCCGCTTGGTTGATCGATTGCTTTGCCCCGTTCTGCAGCAGAAATCGCACTAGGTGCAACACGTCCCACTTGCTCCACTTGTCGTACCCGTACCGGGCTTCCTCAAGGGCATAGCGCACTATCAGGGCGTGCAGTGGAGTGTTTCCCAACGAGTCGGGTGCGTTGATTAGCTCTTTGCATCCTCGTTCCAGCAGGATGCGAAGAGTGGCTAACGTGTCTTCAGCAGATTTACGAGCAGCAAAAATAACTAAAAATAATATCCATGGTTAGTTATTAAAATATCAGCATCGGATCTTTCTTTTCATAAAATAGGAACTCACCCACATGCAGCAGGGTCATTTGTTGGGTGCAAGTGCGTACGGTTGTAATTGCACCCTGATGAATGAGTAGCTCAAGAAAGCGGCCATCATGAAGGACGGCATGGTGAATCGGGTAATACTCGTCCATGATTAGATTGATTTCCTCCGAGCGGGTGACCACTAATTGCTGCACACAATTCCAGGCGCCGCGTTCGCAGGCTAAGTGCAGCAGCGGCTTCTTCACGCGGAAGGGGATCCATGGCTCCTCCATCTTTTGGGTGAGCAGGCTTAGCACATTGTACTGATCCCCGTCGATTGCGTAGAAGAGAGCGTTCTGTAGCTTTGTATTAAGTCGCTCGCTGACATCGTCAACGTTGTTGTGCCACTTGCCGCTCTCTTCGCAATTTCTTGTATGGGCGGCAGGAAAACACATCCGTGTGTCCACGTCGATACGTGCGCCGTGCCGGAGTAACAACTCCACACACTCCTCGTATCCACGCAGAGTGGCGATGTGCAGGGGCAGGGAGCACGGCGAGCGATTAACGTCCGGGCGGTGGCGGTGCAGCAGCCACTTTGTGAGATCTATGTGGTTGAGGCCGACGCTGCGTTGTAAGATGTTGTAGCCATAGTCGTCATGCATGGCCAAGATGTTCTCGTTCTTTGGGATCTGGATGAGCAGGCTCTCGAGGGTCTGCAGAGAAACCTTCGGGTTCGCACGCAGGATGTCGAACAGCGTCTGTATGGTCTCCTCGGTGGCCTTGGACAGCTTCCCGTCGCGATGCGAGAGGAGCGCGGATCCGGAGCGGAACACCTGGCTCACGGAGCCACCCATTGCTCTGGCTTCTACCCTTTTCGGTCGCCTAACACTGCACTGTCATACTAGTATCTCCTGCGACGCAGTTTCCGGGGAAGATCAGTAGACGGCAAAATGCGTATCACTTCCGAAACCGTAAAAAATCAATAAGAGCCTTTAAACAACCGCCCAGATCAGCACTGAACGACGGCTGGGAGGAGAAAGGCTGCCCCGATGGCTTCAGTCGCAGAATCCCACATCCCTGTGGCGCGTTTTCAGGTTAGATTCAGCGCATCCGGGCATTTCAAATTTATCACAATCACAAAAAACTTTGGGATTAAATAAAGTATATTATAGTATAGGATTTGTGAGGCCCTATCGGCAATCGATATCAGTTGGTAGAGTGTAGTATCGTTCATCGATAACAAATTCTATCAAAGCGCGAAAGTTGGGATAACTTATTTAAATTTAATTTACATGGCAAGTGAAGTGCGTAAATGGATACAAATCTACAGGACCAGATTCGGGAACAAAAGGAGCAAAGGAAGCAGCTTTAATCTCCATAACATGAGATGGAAGCTCTGCTTCTTCTTATCGATATGTGCAAAACAACTAGCGGATGTGTAGGCTTATCGGCTATCGATTCGCAGTGAGTGTACAGTGAATACTGGAACGTAGTTACTGTATTTGTTAAAATTAAGTTGAAAAAATTATTAATAATAAAATACTAATATATAAATTGAACGCTTTTATATATTTTTTAAGTTAAAAGTAACTTTGGTTTTTCTAATAAATTTTCCTCTCCAACCTCATTAAGAAAAGCGGTTTGCCTTAGCCTCTCTTCTCTGTAACTAATTGGCGCCCAAAAATAAACGAGCGTCTTGGAAGTTTAGTTTGCTCGTAAAAATACCGCCAGAATCATGACCAACCGCCTGGAGACCAAATACGAGAACCTGAGCAGCATTTTCCGGCTAAAGGGACATGACTACCAGAAGCAGTTCTGCCACCTGTATGCCCACCGCCTGGCCGAGATGACGCGCCTCCTAACGCCGCTGGCCCAGAAGAAGTGGGGCAACAAGGAGCCTATTAAGAAACTGTGTGAGCTGCGGGGCGAACAGGATGTCCACTGCATCTTGATCGGCACCATCTTCAAGCATCAGGCTCACAAGCCCAGCATCCTGCGGGACATTTCTGAGGAGAATCAGTTAGCGCCGCAGCCGCCAAGACAGAACTACTCGGATCCTGAGGACAAGATTGTTCTGGAGGATGAACTTCAGCGGGTGCGACTTCAGGGTCAGCTAAATGGGCAGTTTCTGGCAACCGGAGTTGTGTGCGCTGCCCTCGGTGGAACAGACAGCGAGGGATTTTTTAACGTGGAGGATATGCTTTTCTACGAAAGCGGACCTCAGAAGCCACTGGCCCCTATTAAAAGAAGCCGCCTCCTGGTACTGGCCTCTGGGTTGGACCAACTGCAGGCCCACAAATTTGTGGAGGCCTTGAATCTCTTTCAGTACTGGCTGGCTGGCAGTCTTGGCAACGGCAAGGAAGCGGGCTCCATGGTGCGTCTTATCGTGGCTGGAAACTCGGTGAGAGCCAGTGCCATGGCACATGTGCCCACTCTCCAAGTGGCACGCACCCAGGCGAACGCCAATGACACAGTCCAGGCCGTGACCCAGCTAGACCAGTGGTTTGCCTCATGGGCACGCAGTTTGCCCGTCGACATAATGCCGGGAGCGTTCGACCCGGCCAACTTTATGCTACCCCAGCAGCCGTTCCACAAGTGCATGTTTCCGCAGGCTGCTCAACTGGCCACCTTCCAGGCGGTGACCAATCCGTACAGTTGCCGGCTGGATGAGGCGCTGGTGGTGGGCACATCTGGCCAGAATGTATCGGATCTGCTGCGCAGCACTTCGCTGGACTCGGCACTGGATGCCCTACGCTGCACTCTCACCTGGGGACACGTTGCTCCCACTGCACCAGACACTTTGGCCTGCTACCCGTACATCGACAGTGATCCGTTCATCATGCGCGAGTGTCCGCACGTGTACTTTGCCGGCAACTGTGAGTCCTTTGCGACGGAACTGCATGAGGGCGCCGAAGGCAAGCGCACCCGCCTGGTCTGCGTGCCCAGTTTTAGCCGAACGCAAAGTGTGGCCGTTGTGAACCTGGACACGCTGGACTGCCGCCTGGTCAACTTTAGCGTGGATGCAGAATAAGAAATTCCATTAATACTAATAATACTACTAATAATACACCCTGTTAAGTATTGAGAGTCGCTGGTTTTATTCGCTATCCTAATGCACCACCGGGCCTAGCGGCTCGCCCCTGATGTTGGCCAAATCCAGGCGGGAGTCGATGGTCTCGTCTATCAGTCCGATCACTGCGATGTTGTCCCCCCGGATGATGTGCAGTCCCAGCACGATTTGCTCGATGCCGGAGGTGGTAGAGAAGACGCGCTCATGGCACTCGTCTATGATGATATTGATGGTCTGGTCGAATCCCTTGAGTGTCCCGATGAAGTTCCGTCCGTCCGCCGTGATGATGGACACTGTGTGATTGATATACGACTCCAGACCGGACATTTTAGCAGTCTTTCCTCCAAACAGAACAAAATAAATACGAATTGTGAAAAAGAGGATAGCGACGCGCTCTCACCGATAACGATAACCGCGCCGGAAAACAGCTGTTCCGGCTCTGGTGCTCATGTAATCGGTGCTCAACCTTCTATTTTCCGAAAAAATTAAATTAAACTGCTTAAAATGCTGCGTCGCCTTGTACATGTGGGTGCTCGGGAGCTGAGCCGAGCTCAGTCATCAACCGCCACCGCGGAAAAGTGGGACCTGTACGCCGGAGTGCTTGTAGAGCGCCTGCCTGTGGTGTCCAAGGCCCTAAATCCGCTGGAGAAACAGTTCCAAGACTTACTGTGGCGCGTGGAGTACGAGAACAGCTTGAAGTCCAACCATGAGCTCAAGCACGAGCGTGAGATCGTCCAGGCGGAGCTCATTAAGCAGGGCAAAATCCAAGTGGACCTGGAGGACGGCGGATCCAAGCAGACGGCCCAGGATCTCAAGGACGCCTACGTCGAGGAGCTGAAGAAGTTTCAGCTGGGCTCCCGCACCACGCCCGATGACCAAGCCAACAAAACTACCTCCACGGACCGCTGTCTGGAGGAAACACTCTACCTTTTGGTACAGCAGAAGCTGGGACAGCAGGAGCACCTGATTCTGCCGCAGGGAAAGCGCCAGGAGGGAGAGTCCATGCGTCAGACGGCTGAAAGAGTGCTCCGCGAGAGATGTGGCCAGGAGCTGCAGGTTCTTTTCTACGGCAACGCCCCAGTGGGCTTCCACAAGTACAAGTATCCCAGCAACCAGCGGACCGAGAGCGTCGGAGCCAAGGTCTTTTTCTACAGAGCATCCCTGCGTTCCGGCCAAGTGCCTGAAAAGGTGACCAAGTTTGAGTGGCTGCCCAAGGAGGCGCTGAACGGAAAGCTGACCAATGCAGCCTATGCGGAAAGCATTAAAAAGTTCTTGTTGTAATCGTAATTGTTAAAAATGTTTTTTATCTAACAAATAAATATAAATGCCCGTTGGAATAAAAACTCCAGAGGAAAAGCTACTAACTGCCTTTCAACCGGGAAGAATTAGCAGAGGTGGAGATAATTTTTCAACTTGAGAAATGGTTCCTTCTTCGAAATCAAATTATTGCCTCCCCTGAATCTCAAATAAAGACTCCGCTCAATTAACATATTTAGACATGCAGCAATATATTTATTTTTGCAATTCACGGATTGTAAATATACGTCCAATACAGAGGCAAATATTTATTGTTTTGTTTTTCGTTTTTTTTTTTTTTGCTTTGAAAAAGTTTACTACTTTCGTTTCGAATACACGTAGAAACTGGAGAAATAATAAGAGGCTGGTTATTATGTATTTCTGGGTAGCAAGAGTATCTTAAACTTTTTGGTATTTCAATGGTATCTATGCTCGTTACAAGTTACAGACATTCAATATGGAAAGTGTGTGCTGCTCGATTACTGGAAGCTAAGCTTTTTATCTGTTCTTCAGGCGCAATATGCTCAGATTACTGTGAGAATATTCTCGATTAAATATCTTATTCGGCGACTCGACGCGTTGCCAATGCTCAAACTGAAATGTCCAAATTTAAGATACTTTCATCAGGGTGTTGATAAATAAATGCAAAAACTACAAATGGTTTATAGTCATGTTGATAAATATGTATTGCAAGGTGCTATTGTTGATGTAAGGTTCATTGTGGCATAGGTTCTTAAATAAGCATTAAACTGTTCGACTTAGAGACTAAATTATCGAAAATAATGGTGTAAATATATATTTTTGTTTGCTTTTTTTGTGGTTTTTGTTGATTTTTAGAAATATACTTTAAATTGTAAGACATATGCTCAGGCGCCACTAAACAAGACAATACAGGCTCTTTAGTTCTGGAAAAGCGTTCGCGTGAAATCTATGTAGTCCAGGGCATCCTTGATGGGCTGGCCGGAGCGCGGTTCCGAGAAGGGTTTCATGCGCTGCACGCAGTAGTCCGCCATGTCCTTGGTGAGGTTCTGCAGCAAGAAAGCAAAGTGTTAGAAGTGGTTTGGTTTCAAAATTTCAGTAATCCAGGACTATGGAACTTACGCAGTAGAGCTCCTCCTTGGTGACGTAGGGGCGGTCGGCAGCGGTGATGGCGCGGAAGGCATTCTCGATCTCCTCGTAGGATTGAACGTTCTCCGTCTCCTTGGAGATCATGAACGCGATGTATTCCTGCAGGGAGACGTAGCCATCCCGGTTGGGGTCGACCACATCGAGAATTGCTTCGAACTCCGGGTCGGGCTGTCCCTCCTCCACCATGGGCAGGTCGTAGCCGAGGGCGCGCAGGCAGGACTTGAACTCCTGGTGGTTGAGCTTGCCGCTCTTGTCCTTGTCGAAGTGCTTGAACATCATCGAGAACTCCTTGAGCGAGTCCTCGGAGACGCCAGAGTGGTTGCGTGCCTGGATCTGTTGCTCCAAGTTGTGCTGCATGCGCATAGACAGCTGGTCAAGCTGATCCCACTGCTGGGCCAGGCCCACCGTCGAGTGTTCCGTGTAGCGGTTGTCCAGGATTAGGTGCTCCTCCAGCAGGGCTCCCAGCTCTTCGATCTTCTTGAGGTCAACGCGACGGGCGCGCACCTCGGTGGCCTTGACACGAAGCGCCTCCAGTTGCTGTTCCAGGGAACCGGAGCCTTCCATCATGGACGTTCTGTGAAATTCGCGATGTGGGGATTGGTTGAGAGTTGGCGGATAAAAAGCGTTCGTTAGTAGGGCACAATATCGAGTTAGGTCTCAAACAAATCGGAACTTTACAATGATATAATGCATAAGAGAAGCAAATCTTGTTAGAGGTCTGTTACGGGCAGCGAATATTTTTTTTGGATTTTCTGGATTCGGGCTTGCAACTAGTTTGTCTTCCCTTTGTTTTTGGTTTGTACATATTTACACGTGTCTGTGGGAATTTGGCGGGCCCGAGTGTTTAGATCTGTTTTGGGTCGGGTTTAGGGTTTAGTGTAGTTAAGATTGGTTGTTCTTTGAGTTCAGCAACTAATAATGACGAAAGTTGTCTAATTGCTAGAAGCGAGTTAAAATAAGAAAAGCGCCAAAGGAACGTTCAAATTGTAATTGAAAAATGCTACTAGGTTTGGTTAAACTCTTCGATTGAACGGAATAAATTTTAAAATAATTTATGTTTTCGATTGCTACGTTTTTCTGTATGCTACAACAGTATTTTGATCTCGTTTTGCATGCTAGAGTTTAGTTTCGTTAATTTTGAATAAGATTAGGTGAGACCAAACGAGTAATGGAGAATCGAAACAGTACGTTGACGATATACACTCAGATCGGGATCGGGTGAGTCAGTGCTCTCGCTAATGCAACTAACTAAAACTAGGCCTTAGTCGTCGCTCAATCTTTTCAGTGTGGATATATACGAATATTTACAAGCCCTCGGCTCAAGGGGCAAAGCAAGAGTTACGGAGAATATGGCCATTCCCAAAGGTTAGTGGAGGCGCAGCGAGATTGGGAGCGCAGCTCCAACGCGAGTTAAGGAACCAAAAAGATCACAACAGAAAATAAGAGTTCAAACGCAGAATCAAGCCTGCTCGCTTAATTACCCTTGACGGTTATAACCCAGCATATAATATCTAGAAAATAGAATGGATCTTTCAGTTACGTAGTATTTCATAGGGGGAGAGTCGCGACCACGAGACTTGTTTTCGGATTTGTGTGGGTTGGGATGGGTACATGGATTCGATCCGAAAAAACCAACACACGTCTGGATAGAGTAGCCCCAATTGGGGCAAGCCCTTGTCACCACTCACCTTGTCTCTGTTAGCCACTGGTGGAAAAGATTGGCGTGCTTGGCAAACTCCTTGCGCAGCTTGTCGTTCTCCTCCTGGCGCTTGGCCTCCTTGGCAAGTTCCCCATCGCGTTCCTCTATGATCTTTTGCAGATTACGCCAGGTCTCCTCAAGAGCTTCCATGGTGAACCACGTGTAGGGGTTGGGTCCAACATTAAAGCTCTTGATCTTCTGGTCGAGTGCTGCCAATGCCTTGAAGTCAGCTTCGGCCGACGAAAGGGACGCCTGGAATTGGGCATGGGCGTCGCGCAGGGCGCGGATTTCTTCGATCGAATTGCAGCGAACAGGATCTGTAAGATCCTCCTCGGCATTTTCGAACCAAGAATTGAAGGCCGAAGCTTTCTTGGCAAATGTCAAGTAGAGTTCCTCGATCTGGCGGAACTGCTCCTGCATGGCCAACAGTCGCTGCTTGCGCGTGTCGGAGGCGTCGCGCAACTTCTGCCACCTGGCGATCACGTCTCCGTGACGCTTCAGGATTGCCGGCGACTGGGCGTGGCTGGCATTGATCAGTTGGTCCTTGAGTGCCGTGATGTTGTGGATGCCCTCCTGCTCGAAGGCATTGAGACCTTAAAGGAGATGAATTGGTATTAAAAAGGGAATCAGGACAAAATTTCTGCTGATCTCACCTGCATCGAATGTCTCCTGCTTGGTCAACAGCGTCTGCACGGTGGACAGGTCACGTCCGAATTCATCGGAGCGCACATAGTTCTCCTTGTCGTCAATCCAGCTCTCGACCACATCGGCCTTCCACATGAACTGCAGATATGCCGAATTGTCCAGCAGGGCTCCCTTGCGGCGGGCAGCCAGGGCGGACAGGTTGTCCAGTTTGTGGCGCAGCTGCTGGCAACGTTGCGCAATGGACTCTCCGTGATGGTTCTTGGCCTCCACCAACTCACTGCCCTGGTCGCAGATCAAAGAGCAGCGGTCCTTGTGGGCAGTGAAGTCCGTCTCAAAGGCGTCGTGCTTCTTCAGCAGACCTTGAACAGCGGCCATTGAGTCGCCGTAGTCCTCCACAGAGAGCAGCTGCTGCTTCTCGGTGATCCAGGCCTCCTCCTCCTCCACCTGTGCGAGGAATTGCTGATAGGTCAGCGACTCGTCCAGCTTCTGACCTCGCGTGGCAGCCAGGTTCTTTAGCTCAGCCCAGGCCTGGTTGAGAGCCTTCAGGCGCTGCTCAATTTCCGGCACTCCAAGGTTGGACACGTCCATGAGCTTCTCGCCAGCCTCCTGCACAGCTTGAATGGCCGGCTCGTGGGAGGCCAATTCGGCTTCTAGGCGCTTGTGCTTCT